TAAAATCACCTGGGGTGGGGGAGGAGGAGAGAGGAGTCCCAGAGGGGGTCACCCAGCCACCTGCCCCACAGGTTCACCCCACATCATGTCTACACCATCAATACACATACCAACGTAGTTTAAAAAGATGAACAAGGTCTTTGTGCTATTATGAAAATTGCTCCTCCCAACCCCCACAGACGTCGGGGTGTCAGGGAACCCCCACCTAGGGTTCCACATCCCACACTTGGGAACTGGCACAACTGAGCCTCCAGAAATGAGAGAAAAAGGTCCAAGAGGACATCGCCCATGCTAAACCTCATTAACAATCAGACGGATATTGCCAAGCGATATAATTATTATCCTGATATTATTATTACTATCATCCCAGCATCTCAGCTTCCCCAGAGCAGGCCTTTGCTGGATTTCATCTGGTTCCCCATTGGGACAAGTCACCCACTCGCGACCCCATGGGGAATGGGGGCTTGGCATGCTCCAAAGCCACCGGGGCTCACTGGCCTGGGAAAAGAAGGGACGGAGACAGAGAAGGGAAGGGCCCCGGGTTCTAGAAGCACCTGTCCATAGAGACAGCACCCTCGATCAATAACCATCAGCCTTGGGGGACAAATACTGGTAGGGTTTTTCCACCCCACACACTCCACCCCACAGACAGGCCCAGACCTGTTAAGGAATTGCAAGCAGGTGCAGGCACTGGGAAGCACCCTCTGGAAACCACGGTGTAGCGCCCGCCTGCCTCATCACGCTGACCGTTTCTACCCTAGCGGTCTCCAGAATCCACACCTGCTGAGCCATCAAGGTATCGCTGGTCTGTCCCAACAGGAAAGGCGCATGGAGCTTTCTGTCCCCACCACAGGCTGTGTGCATGTGCTTGACTCCTTTTGGGGTCTGCGCAGGTATCTGCAGGGCTTATGGAGCCTCTAGAAGGTTCCTCAACATCCCCGCAGCCTCTGACCTAGCGGTGGGAGCATCAGGATCTGAGAAATATCTGGGGAGAGCCCCCTCTGGAGTCAGCACCCCTGTGTCCTATCCCCAGCCCGCCAGCCTGGAAGGGGAGAAATGTTCACATGAAGCTGGACAGGCGGGGGAAGGGGCAGGTCTCACGTGAGTCCTGCGCAGCCCCCCAAAACCCCCTCGCTTCCAGGGGAAGGTGGAGGTTCCCTGGCCTCCGCTGGTCTTGCCGTTGGCTCCAATATTTGCCAAGTGTCCCCGCACATCCATGCCACAGCTCATTCTGTTTGGCCTCAGTCTGGCCTCAAGTGAGCAAACTGTGGAGTGCTGTGTGCAAAGGCCCTCCTCTGAGGAATGGGTCCTGGGACAGACCTCCAACAATCAGAGATCTATTTCCGAATGTCCCAGACAGCTCCTGTCTCCTTTACTACATAGGGCAGTGAGGTTCCCAAATTGTCCCCTTTCCATGGGTTAGAAGTTACCCAGCAGAGGATTTCGACCTGGCACTAGTAACATGTGGGACAGGTCACTATCTGAGGTGGGATGTCCCGTGTACTCTGTAGGGTGTGGAGCACTGTCCCTGGTCTCCACCTACCACATGCCAGGAGCATGCTGTTCCCTCCCTCAGTGTGACAACCAGAAACAACTCCAGACATTGCCAATGGTCCCCTGAGGGGCAGAATCACCCCTGGGGTGCTAGCTACTGTGATGGATGGATGGATGGATGGATGATAGATTAGATAGATAGATGATAGATGATAGATAGATAGATAGATAGATAGATAGATAGATAGATAGTTATGATGGATGGATGGATGGGTGGGTGGATGGATGGATGGATGGATGTTTGGATGGATGGATGGATGGATGGATGGATGGATGGATGTTTGGATGGATGGATGGATGAAGGGATGGATGGTTGTTTGGATGGTTGGATGGATGGATGAAGGGATGGATGGATGGATGAAGGGATGGATGATGAAGGGATGGATGATGGATGGATGGATGGATGGATGGATGGAAGGAAGGATGGATGAAGGGATGGATGGATGGATGGATGGATGGATGGATGGAGTCTCTAGTGCTAAAGCAGGGTTTCTTGGCATCAGCAGGACTGACATCTGGGGCTGGACCATTCTTTGAGCTGGGACGTCCTGTGCACTGTGAGATCTCAAGCAGCATCCCTGGTTTCCACCCACCAGGTGCCAGGAGCACCCCCACATCCAGCTGTAACAACTGAAAATGTCTCCAGACATTGCCCCTCACTCAGAAACTCTGTCTTGTAGCAAGAGAGCCTTCTGGGTGCAGAGGCCAGCTTGGGGCTGAGCCAAACAGAACCCTCTGCCAGGCCCTGAAGAAATGGGGGTGTTCTCCCTTCCCCAGCCACCCCCACAGCTTCCTCGACATATGTCTCAGGGGTCTCTGTGTGGAATGATGAAGACAGAAATGCAGTGGGCACCATCGGGGGTGTGCATGCTCGATGGAGCGTCTGGTGGCTGGTCAGCTGTGCAGAGGGCAGCCTCCCGCCTCTCCCACTGCCACGGGGCAGGCACATCTCTCTCCAAGTGGAACACAAGCCTCTGGCTCCGATGCACATGCACATCATGGGCATCTGGGCGAATTACCAGGAGCAAAAGTCAGGTCATGCCAGCTCCCTGCTGGGGTCTTGCTTCTCAAAGGCTTCAAATCCTTGCTGGGGTGGGACGTCCTGCTCATGGTAGGGTCCAGAGTGCATCCCTGGTCTCTACCTCCTCCCCAACCATTCTGTATCCTGTCAACCCCATACGTCTCCAAAAGGTGGAGTTGGAATGCCTGCCGGCGTTCTAACAGCTCTCAGCAGAACAGGAAACAACACCAGGTGCATGATGGGGTTGCAAGAAGCAAGCATCGCCCCCTCCCCAGCCCCTGAGCCTCCCACGCACTCGCCAGCCCTGGGTCAGCCCTGAGCAGACAGCATTAGCAGCTCCCTGGGGAAACTGTGAGGGATGCACATCCTCCAGCAACCCCCTGAGCCCCTGGGATCAGAAAACTGAGCCTGGGGGCCAATGCGGGCCTCGTGATCCATGCTCAAACCCCAAGTTCTGCTCTGGTTGCTGGAGGAGGTAGGGATGGGGCAGGAGACGGTGGGGAAGGATGCACAAGACCCAGAGGGAATGGGGAGTGGGAGGGAACCGCAGAGATGTCCAAAATAGAAGGTTTAGGATGTCCCAGCAGCTGCCTTGTGTCCCAACACACACTTCCATCGTGACCCACCCCTGCCCCACACACCCGCCTGCCTCGTGGGACCCTTGCTACTCCGAATTTGTGCTCAGAAAGCAGGGCAGATGGCAGTAAGACGCAGGCGAGCCTCCCCGGTCCCCGGCCACAGGCTTGGTCCATTTTTAAACCCAGAGCAGGCATCCTGCCATGGGCGTCGCTGGGCTCCTGTGCATGGTGGGTCTCCAGGAAGCCGTGCAGAGGGGACACCTGGCGACCTCCACCGTAGGCGCATTGGGTGGAAGGTAGGCTCTCCTCCCGGTTCCTGGGAAAAGGCCCACCGTCCTCCGGGATGACCTCAGCTCATGACCGCTGCAGACTCTACTTCCAAATAAGGTCACATTGTAACTGCTGCAGGCTACAACTGGAATATATTAACTTGGGTATTTGTGTGTCCGTGTGTGTGCGTGTGCGTGTGATTTCTTCTTCCCACTCTACAAGTCACACGGCAATCAGCATGACCACACTCCCCCCCCTGCCCCCCACTGGAAAGCATTGCACTTCGCCATGGATATGTGGTTGGGGAGGGGAGCAGAAGTTCTTTCCAAGGGCGTGCAGGAAAATGGAAATACAAGTATAGCTCCCGTGGTGGTCACCCTTCTCTAGACCTGCCTAAAATTCGATTCCGGGGCTTCGCTCTGTTCCAGCGTGAAGATGCTCCTCCAGGCCCGGACCCCCAGGCACCCACTCGAGCTCCCAGGAAGAACTGGGAGTGTTGCTTTTTACACAATACGGTCAATACCATCCTTTCCTTCCTTCATGGGCATGCAGAATGCAGCTAATTGTGACTTTTCTCCTCTTTAGCAGGGAAGCATGCCATCCTGGTGGCCCTGGGGGTGGGGCGGGATGTGGGGGGAGTTCCTGAAGGACATATGCCCCCCACCTGAACCTCATGTAACACTCTGGGTCAAGCACACTTTAGGCATCAACCAGTCAATCAATCAATAAAATGCTTCTGCTATATAATCCCCACCCACCCCAAAAAAGATATGCCTCCAAGTACTCATGATTCAAAGATTTTTATTCTTTTTTTTTAAAGATTTTATTTATTTATTTGAGAGAGAGAGAATGAGAGACAGAGAGCATGAGAGGGAGGAGGGTCAGAGGGAGAAGCAGACTCCCCGCCGAGCAGGGAGCCCAATGCGGGACTCAATCCCGGGACTCCAGGATCATGACCTGAGCCAAAGGCAGTCGCTTAACCATCTGAGCCACCCAGGCGCCCCCAAAGATTCTTATTCTAACTGGGTTGAACATTAGCCAGTTTCCGCTTGTCACTTGGGTGATTTTCTTTTCTTTTAAGATTTAGTTTATTTATTTGACCCAGAGAGAGCACAAGCAGGGGCAGAGGGAGAAGCAGGCTCCCTGCTGAGCATGGAGCCCCACGCAGGACTCGATCCCAGGACCCTGGGATCATGACCTGAGCCGAAAGCAGACACTTCACTGAGCCCCCTGATGCCCCCCACGGGGGTGATTTTCATCCCTTAATTTTGTAACTACGTTTAAGTGTTCACCATCCATCGAATTCCAGATGGCACCGATGACAACTCGTCTCCCTCGGCAAGGTGACAGGTGCCCATGTGCTCCCCAAACTCCTGCCGTGACCCTTGGAATGGAGCAGACACCGTGCCGCAGGCAGACACACCCCCAACGGGTACCCTGCCCCGCCCAGGACTGCATTTATCCGATGCCGCTGAGCTGCGTAGATAGCTTCCTGAATCGTGGACCTACTGCGGCATGCTGCCTCCTCCTTGTAGGTGGGGATTACAGAAAGCAAGAACATGGCAAGCCAACCGCGGTATTTTTCTTTCTTCTTTTACATTTATTTATTTATTTTTAAAAATATTTTATTTATTTATTTGACACAGAGAGACACAGTGAGAGAGGGAACACAAGCAGGGGGAGTGGGAGAGGGAGAAGCAGACTCCCCGCTGAGCAGGGAGCCCGATGTGGGACTTGATCCCAGGACCCTGGGACCATGACCTGAGCCGAAGGCAGACGCTTAACCGACTGAGCCACCCAGGCGCCCCTTACATTTATTTAGAATGATGAAAATTTATGTATGACAGGTACAGGAAAAAACCAAAACAGACAGATAGATGTCTTTATAAATGCTTCCATTGCATCTAGGTCTGTACGTGAAGGTGCAAATGCGTGTGTCCATGCATTTGCACGTGCACAGACCTTCACACACACTTTCAACCAGTGTCAAAAGAAACTCACATACACAAAACATGCGGCAACCATGCGGCTTCGTCCCTGGGTGCAGACAGTTGAGAAGCGTGCTAGGACATCCCCGTCCCAACAGGAATTGCGGGCTGCTGTCTTGAAATGGCTCAAATCATACATGAATCCCTGACATGAGACACCACCATCTTAGCTGCAAGTTCCCTTTTGCATTTGGGAAGCTCTCTTTAGGGCTTTCTGCTTTCGGCGCCCCCCTCTTTGTAGACCTAGCTCCCAATCCATGATGGTGAACACAAAGCATGCATATTTAGGACTTTTCTGGGTCCTCTCCATCAGCTGCAGATGGCAAAAATTGTCTCTATTTTGATATTTAGGGCAAAGCCCAAAAGTCCTATAAGCATGTACCTAAGTTGGATGAAACTATGCCAATAAGCCCAAACTGTCTTTTTCCCTCCCCGCTAAAATCTTACTAACACAGAAGCAAATAGCTAGTATGCATTTCAGATGCTTGAGCGTTTTTTAAGGTTCTCTACTATGGGTCTAAAAAAATATATATAAACTAAGAAAAAGGATGGCATTGCCTAAAGAACAGAAACCTAGAGAGCGTCAGATGGAAACTAATACGAGAACAGTCGAGTCACACATCGTGATCGCCGTCCCCTATTTTCCCAGAAATCTCGAAATCATAAGATTTCACAGGAAAAGGAAAAGCATCCCAGGCCGCTTCCCCCGCCCCCCCACCCCCGAGATGGCTTGCACTCGAGCGACCGTGCATGGACAATCCCGAAACCCAGCCTCAGCCTCTGCAGGTTGGGGGCAGGGGATGGATGGAGGGCTGGTCGAAGCCACCCCGAGTGGTGAGAATCCCACATTCCACATCAGCCAGGCCGGTGGGCGCTGGCTCCCTGATGAACACTCAGCCTGGGTCAAGCTTCTCCCCAGAGCGGGCTGGAAACCCCCCCACCCCCAGTGGTGCTCCTGAGACCCCAGCAGAAGACAGCACCCGAACCCACGACCCCGTGCCCTGGGACACTCCCCGTGCTTTGGGGCGACACGCACGGGTCACCCATGTGCACGTCCTGCACCATGAGGTCGTGTTGGGAACCCAGGACACAGTCAGCATCTATCCACATTCGCGATCGAACCAACAGATGAGGCAATAATCTTCGTTCGACCCAAGGAGGAGCCCAGTTATCCTCACAAATGGACCTCCTCCGGCGGATTTGGGGATGCTTTGGGAGGCGGCTCATCTGTGCCGAACAGAAAACACGTCAGGGCAGCTGGTGACGTCGATAATGAAAGGAATTGTCCCAGGAACAGCGAACAGAGTTCTGGTCTACACCGAGCTTCTCCCTAAGCGACCGCTGGATCTCGAAACCCTCATACGTGCGCTGGTTCTGGAAGGGAAGATGGGCAACCATGTGTCACAGCTAGGATGAATTGACCAACTATATCTTTTTGGTCGCAGCTAATATTTGCCCAAACCCCCTTTTACAGATGTGGTTTCATTGACCTTCACAATCTCGGAAGAGGGAGCTTTTATTCCTTGCAGTTTACCAAATAAGGCTGAAGCGTCATGCTCAAACAGTCCACCTGTTGCCCCGTGTGTGGCCCCATCCCCAGAAGTGTGTGTCCAGAAGGTGTGGCACCTTCAAAGTGGAGCTGCCACACCCGTCCAGTTCCGCAGGTTGCACACTGCAAACTCATCCCCCTACAACTTGCCAAGACGGCGTGTGAGCCGTCCTCCAGCTGACAGGTGACCTCCCGGACCCAACCGCACAGCCGAGCAACGTCAGCATGACTGCGTGGAGCCAAGTTCGCTGCAATGCTGAGACCCTCCCCTGCACCCCGGGTCATAAACAAAACCCAAGATGGAGCCGCCATGCTCATACTTGTTAGACGGTTTGCAGGTTTGGCAGCCGGCAAGACCAGGCAACACCAGGATGAGTCTTGCCCACCTTGGGGGGGGGGTCCCCTCATGATATGACAGCGAGTGTGCAGTCTTGGTGTCTTAGGACCATAGCTTTAACAGACGGGCAGGCAGACGTGGTCTCCGCTGGACCCGGTGACCTCATCCCTGAAGAATAGCTAATGGAGGGGACGTCTGGGGGGGCTCAGTCGGCGAAGCATCAGGTCATGATCTCAGGGTCCTGGGATCGAGTCCCGCATCGAGCTCCTTGCTCATCGGGGAGCCTGCTTCTCCCTCCCCCTCTGCACTTCCCCCTGCTCATGCTCGCTCTCTCTCTCAAATAAACAAATAAAATATTAAAAAAAGAATGACCAACTGAAAAACTAGATGGGATGTTTATCTAGCCTCCAAAAAAGCAAAAAGAGCTTCCAGGCAGGGAAAACGAAACAAAACAAAACCAAACAAACAAACAAACAAAAAAAGCGGGCTTTGTCTCAGATAAATGGGGAGATCATGACCCACATTTAAAAAAAGCAAAACAGAACAAAATAAGAACAACTCCAGGTGCTGCAAAAAGAAAGTCAGGTGAGGTGAGGCGGTTGGGCACAAAATTCCGGCAGGCACCGGGAAAAAAGCCAATTCAGGTCTACACTGCTGGGTTCTGAAATGCCCGCGGGCCCGAAGACGGAATCCAAAGTCACGCTCGGTGTGTCTGCAATGACCACGGAAGCTGCCAGCCACGGGAGGGGTGTTTCAGAGACGCTGTTTTCCCCAAGCTTTCTGGGGGGGCGGGGTGGGGGGCCAGGTACGGTGTAGACCCGAGCTCCCCCGTGTCTGGATTTGGTCAGTACTCCCCATCCGCCAGCAGAGGGAGGCCCCGGGCAGGTTTTGGGATTTTGCAATCCCACCTAAAACACCGTTCCTGCAGGATTCCCTCTTTAGGGACACAAAGGAGATGTGGGTGAACGCGCCCCTGCAAAGCCCAGATGGAGTCCAATGTGGGTTCTTGCTGTGGGGACCACACCTCCACACACCCTCAGCTCGCTTCCGCAATAGAACCCCTCTTTGTGTCTGGGCCCTCCCTGCAGACGGGTCCTCAGGGCCGGCCACCGGGCAGCACCCATCACCCCTGCCCCCAAGGGTAGCCAACCAGGCGTGATTCTCCAAAACCCAGGAGACTGGACCCCCAAAAATCCTGAACTAGAAAGCCACAGCGGCCCCCCACCCCCTTCCATGGGGTCTGTGCCCAAATTCACCAGAAAGCCTTCCAATTCTGTCCCTGCATACTTTTGTTTTTGGAGAGGAATACAAACATCACAGCCTCAACCCAAACATTTCCCGAGTCCCTTACGATCTATCGAAACCGTATCAGCCCCCCTGATCGCAACCCCGAGCTGAGAGCGTTTCAGTCTATGTGAGTTTTAACACCCACTCTTGCAGATCACAAAGCTGCTTAAAAATACGGGGAAAAAAACGGAAAAGCACCCCCCATGAGGCCCCAACTTAAAACCACTTCCTTAAGCAAGGCGCTATATGGGACGTCCCCAGAAATAACCCAGCCCCGTAACAGGCTCCAGGAACTATTTTTATACAACCCAACACTTACCATTTGTCCTGAAACAGTTTCTCCTTCTGTTGCGTTGGCAGAAACCCGCTGCGGCGCCCACCAGCGTGACCACCAGCACGGACACAATAGGAGACACGATTTTCGCTACCATGTTTCCTGCGGGATCGAGAAACCAAAGAGGGTCTCAGAAAACATGTGGCCAGCGAGAAAGCCGTTCATTGTAAATCATCCCACAATCTCACCTTGGGCCCTTCCCACCCTCACATGCACGGGAAAAAATACATAATAATAATAATAATAATAATAATAATAATAATAATAATAATAATAAAAAAGAGCAAATCAGAACAAGAAGTCCGAGGAAAGGATTCTGCTTCTATAAGCAGAAGATTTCGAGATTATTGATGACGTCTTACCAGTTCAGGACATTCAAGGCAGAGTATTGCAAATAAGAGGCACTCGATTTGTTTCTCGTGGATTTGTTGAATTGGATGGGTTTGTACCTTTTTCAGTTTGTTTTTCGTGGATTTGCTGAATTGGATGGGTTTGTACCTTTTTCGAAGTAGGATGTTTGTACCCTTGCAAAATATATTCAGTGCACACGTGCCCACAAAGGTCTGGACACAGGCACACACCTAACCTTGACAGCTTGGAGGCAACCTTAACTGCCAACAGTTTGGTTTCTCTGCCTGGGACCTTGCATGACAAAAATCAACGGTCCCGAGAAAGAAGAAATCATTGCTTTTACTGGCGAGAACCACCTGTGTCTTCTCTCAGAGTGGGTCAGGCAGCTGGTGTGTTGTTGGGATGGATACGTGGCCCCCATGGGACGTTGGCTTGGCTACTGTGGCCTGCAGGAAGCATCACTTCCCTCCCCCACCCTGGTCTGGCATCAGTCCCTCTGTCTGGACGCAGGACCCCATACGTTCCACGCAACCCCATGTGTGCCACCTCGATTTTTGTCTTGGGCTTGGCCCCTCCAGCCCCCAGCTTGTGTCCGAGAGAATGGTAGGGATGGCTGTCCTGCGAACGCCAGCCCAGACACCCCACAACCCCGAGGCTGTGCACGTGCGTCGGGACGCAGAGGCTGCAGAGCGCTTCCATGCGTCCTACTCGCGGAGCATCTGTGACGCACAGAAGCTTGGCGTCGGGGCGAGCGCATTCATCTTCAACGTGAAGGCGGGACTGCTGAAAGGCTGCATTCTGCCACCAACGTGTGACCAGCGTGGGCCTCCTGGCCTCCACCCCTGCCCTGTCTGACCTGCTCTGGGGCGGGCATGGACTTCTAGGGGGCTTCTCTAGGGCCGAATGTCCACACCCTCCTTCCCGTTCTCCTTCTTGGCTTCCGTTCGTGCTCTTGCTCAAACACACATGAGCCATCGGCGGCCCCGGGACAGGTCCACGAGCCCCTCCCTGCCCTTGGAGTCCCGAGACCCACCCTCCGCCCTCCTTCTCTGAGCCCCCAGGGAGGTGAGCACCCCGCAGAGGCAGGCTGCTCCATGAAAACCTGTGGGTTAAGACAGTATGTCCAGACCCTGCTGGCCCGCCCACGCGCTACGCAAGAGCGTGTTTTTATTACAGACGGGAGCGGCGCGGATCCATTACCCTGGGGGTTCCCGTAGGTCGAGTGTCCGTCTCCGCCTGTAAAGAGGAAGGCACATGGTCATGGGTTTATTCAGCAGAGTCTCCACCGCCGGGCACCGCGGAAAGGCTGGGCATGCAGCGAGAAGCACCGCGGACGCGGATCTCCGTGTGCGGGGAGCTTACCTTCTCCCCGAGGAGGGGCGCACACTCAGCCTCAGGACGGGGCTGTGGACGCTACATCCAATGCTGAGGAGTGCGAGGGGGCAGCGTAGCGACAGGGCAAAGCAGCTTCCGTTCCAGGGGACAAGGGATATACACACACCTTTACAAACGCAACGTGCACGTGCACCCACGGACAGGTGCACACACTCACGCCGCCCCCCATGCGCGCACCGCCCCCCATGCGCGCGCGCCCGCATCCTCACATACACACAAGCACACACTCACATTCATGCTTGTGAACACACGAAGACATGCATACACGCACACTGCCACCCATGCGCGCGTCTCCACGCATGCAGGCGTGCACACCCCCACATGTTTGCAGAATACATGCAAACAGACCTGCAGGCACGCATGCCAGCCACACGCATACACACGTGCACACATCCACCTGCACACGCACGCACACAGTGCACACACAGAGACCCATGGACATCTATATGCAAATCCATGTGCACAGACTCATGCACACAGAGGCACATGGACATCTATATGCAAATCCATGTGCACAGACTCATGCACACAGAGGCACATGGACATCTATATGCAAATCCATGTGCACAGACTCATGCACACAGAGGCACATGGACATCTATATGCAAATCCATGTGCACAGACTCATGCACACAGAGACACATGTGTGCGCAGGAGAAAGACATGCCCGTGTGCATTAGCAAGTAGACGTGTGTATGCAGCCAAATGCACACGCATGCAGAGGCAGACATATGCACACATACAACCATACATGTGTGCATCGGCGTGCACCCATCTGCACGCATGCACGCATGCACGCGCATTGGCACACACACGCATGTACAAACACACACACACAATATCAACTGTAAGCAGGGCTTACTTACTTCCTTGCAAGAAAGTAAGACTGCGCTGCATGCAAAGCAACTTTGGTGACCGGTGAGCACACGAATTAGACCCCGATGGTCAGTTAACTTCCACGCAGGAGGCAATAGGACAAGCTTCCCACCAGCGCGCAGATGGGGTGTTAGTTCTCCCCAAGGACAGTTTCTCCGCACACAGCTCGTAAGAAATAATTCCTTTACCGTAAGTATTTCCGTAAGAGTTGGGTCTAGAGCGCCCTCCTCCTGCAGGACAGAAAGACCACGTGTCCAGAAGTTGCGGCGACACCACTCAGAAAACCAGCACACCCGAAGCAAGATGCTGCGTGAAGCTGCGGAGATTTCCGGCCCTCCCTCCCCATGCAAAGGGAAGAGACACAGTCACCACGGGGCGGCCTCTGACCACACAAGGAGTGGCGGCTGAGCTCAGCCTGCACGATGCACGGCTTCCCCTGACACCCTCTGGAGCTCATGGCGACTGGGCCACACGCCATGCTCATGCCCGAAGACCGGGCGCTTGCCTTAGCTCACGTGCAAACACGCTTTCCATGAGGCCAGCCTGGGCAGTGCCGTGGGCACAGACTACAGTCATCCCGGCCAGTGAAACAGGAAGATTTCTGGCACCTTCTTCCCATGTCTGGAGGCCGTTTCTCAACGAAGGTTTGAGATGATAAACGGAACGCTTGGTGCTAATTTTGTTAATTTGGAAGCGGGAGCATTTTTGTGGGTGCTGTTTAAACACTGATGGGTCATTTGATCAACTGCCTCCGGATTGAGCCGTGTCCCCCTCCCCAAAATTCATATGTTGAAGTCCTAGCTCCCTGGAACTGCAGAACGGGACTGCGCTTGGAGGTGGGGTCTTTAAAGGTAACAACGTTCCAAATTAAGGTAAAATGAGGTCGCTAGGATGAGATCACTAAGCTGTTAGGACTGGTGTCCTCTGTGCAGGAGGAAGGGACATGCCCAACGCGTTCTGCCACCTCCAGGGAGAAGCCGGGTGACGCGGTCACCTGATGCATGAACCCGATCCTCGGTGCTAGTCTGAGAGCTGACTCACAGCTTGGCACAGCTCAGTACCACAGAACAGGGGTCCAGGCACGGATGGGGCCAGATGCGTGTTCCCAGAGCCTCACATGCCAGTGAGCGTGGCCCTCTGGAAAACCGCATCAGCCAGGCTTTGTCCTGCAGCTTGACCCTGGCCCCGCCCGAGAGCACGGGGTCAGGGGAGGGGGGTTTGCAGACATTTTGTCCCCAGGGTGAATGGTCATCCTGAAGAGTGTGCTTTTCTGCACTCAGAGGGGAGACAGGTCCCCAAGACATGGCGGCGTGGGATCAGAGCCCTGACTAATTTCCTGGGGAATAAATGTAGGCATCCTTAGGGCTCCTGGGAACACTGGTAGATGAGTCATTTCTTTCCCGCTTGTGAATCCGGCAAAGAACAAAACAACAGGCTCTGGGAAGGATCCTCGCGGAGGGAGAACCATCAGAGACAGGTGCATGGGGTAAACACATCCCCGGACTGGGATACCTCCCTGGCCTGGAGGGTTGTGGGGGCGTCATCTGACCATGCAACATTCCACGTGGCTGCTTATAAAAATATCAAATAAGCTTTTGTCCCACAGTTTCCAAAGAAAGAGGATGATGGGCACATCACATCTGCACACTGAGTTTAAAGGAGACAGCTTTTGACCCCTCTCCACTAGGACCCTTCACACGCCGCCTGTCCCATACAAGCGTGTGCACCTTGGAGGGACAGCGTTATGGGGATGGGACCATCTATAGGGCGACAGATATCTGTCCCTTAAAGCAGACTGTTTGAGCACCATATTTCCTTCACCTTTACTTTAGAAAATGGGATATAAAATAAAAATTTCCCCTTCAGAGGTTAGGGAGGTTAATGGGACCACATCTCCGAAAGGACCATACCCCTTGCCAACGCACCATACAAATATTAGTTTTGGCCAAAAGATAAGTCACTCAATTCATTCATGGTGCTCAAAACGCTTAACACATGGCAAACGGAAAAGAAAAATAATGCTTTGAAACCAATCCACAAGTTGATTGGTGGGCCAAGGGGACTCAAAGGTACAAACGTGTAGTTACAGGATGAATAAGCCCTGGGACGTCACATAGAGCCTGGGGACCCTAGTTAACAATCCCGTATCCTATATTTAAAAGTTGCTAAGGGAGTAAATCTTTAAGGTTCTCATTTTACAATAAAAAATAAAATTTGTGGGGTGCCTGGGTGGCTCATTCGGGGAAGCATTTGCCTTCAGCTCAGGTCACGATCTCAGGATCCTGAGATCGAGTCCCGCATCGGGCTCCCTGCTCAGCAGGGAATCTCCTTCTCCCTCTCCCTCTGCTCCCCCTGCTTCTGCTCACTGTCTGTCAAATGAGTAAATAAAATCTTTTAAAAAAATTTAAAAAGCAAAATTTGTAACTATGTGTGCCAATAGACACACAAAAAATAAAATCTGTAACTGTATGTGCGATGGACGTTCCCCAGACCTAGAGCCATGATTACTTTGCGACATATAATAAATGTTGAATCACTACGCTGTAAACCTAGAACGAATACAATGTTCCATGTCAATTGTATCTCAACTAAAAAAAAATAATCAATCGGTAGCATTTCGCTTTCCCAGCGCCGACGTTTTGTTCTCAGTCTTCCCTTAGGCAAGCAGAGAGCATCTGAGGGCTTTGAGATCCGCTGATCCGTTTGCAAAGAGCTCAGTGTAGACAAGAACCCCACGAATCACTCCTGCGGACTTTTCTATTCCTTCCTGGCAGAATCTGCCTCCCCGAAATGTGTTCTGCTGGCAGTAGGTCAGCCGCCTAACAAAAAGCCCCCAGTGTGTCGGATGTTGTCCCCCCGGCGAGTGTTGCTGTCTGCCGTTCTGTTTCCTGCTACCTGGACGCTGGGGGCCCCTGGACGGCAGGACGCGGCCAAGCCGGACGGTCAGTGCGGAGAGGGCTGCGAACCCCGGACGCCAGCACACAGAGCCCCCACACCCAGGATCCCAAGAAGAGACGGGGATGGGCATGCAAGGGGGAGGCGGGGATGGGCATGCAAGGGGGAGGCGGGGATGGGCATGCAAGGGGGAGCCCGGCAAAGACGACCCCCACCCCGCCGCCCACCGGGGGTCCGGGCGCTGGGCGTACCATGCGTGTTTCCGGACCCATCATTGCTGGGGTAGTAGCTCCCACCACCTGCGGGAGAGAAGGTCCGTGTCAGGGATGCTCTGCTGGGAGGCATGGGGTTCCTGGTGATGGCACCAAAGCCGTGCCCACGACTCACCCCAAAGAGAGCCCCACATGGTGGCAAAGAGCGGGAGCCACCAGGGCACGTCCAAGGCTGCCCGCCTAAAGTCACAGCTTTCTGCTAGGACAACTCCCGCCGAGACAGACCCCCTGTGGAAAGCTCAGCGCCTTCACAGAGCCCACATGGAGCCGGACGGGCTCCCCGCGCATGCAGGTGCATCGTCCTCCTGCAGAGAGGTCTGAACGGGACCCACAGCTTCGTACAGAAGCACCTTCACGAGATGGGCAGACCGGAAAGGCGAAGCCCATCGTGAACCTTCTCTCTTAGGGGCACGTTTAGGGTTGGCTGATCGTGACCGTCACAGCCCTGAAGACAAAGCTGTTTGTTCATGGTGCTGAGCGTCGCAGAAAGAAGGTGCACGCGCACCCTGCTTGTCCAGATGACGCATGTGCCTTTTGGCAAGGTTTTGGGGCGGAGGCCTTCCCTCTTCTGAAACACATCGGGCACGACCAGACAGAGGAGAAACCTCGCCTACGGGACACAAAGCCTCATGCATTACAGCCTGGAGCCCGAGACTATAGACGGCTCTGTCCCGACCGACCCCTGCTTTTGTTTACGGAGGGAAAATTCTCGGCGGGTGGTTCCATTCCAGTGATAGCAAGAATGTCCATAAAGGCTTTATACATACCTGTGTACATGTGCATAAACGTCTACCCATATACGTAGGTATATACACACATACGAACAAATAAAAGTATACATAGATAGATATAGAAGTACACGTACAAAGATACATACACATATAACAGTATACATACGTACATATAAAAGTAGATAAATATACATAAAGATATAAACACACACATACATATGTAGATATACATAAAGATATATATACTCAAAATATATGCATACATTTTTAAAGCTGTCTCTATGTACATATATAAACATATTTACACACATATAAAGATATATCTATACATATATAAAGGTATATGCATATGCAATGTTAGAGAACTATATATATATAAACATGAAAATATAGAAATATATACATATTCAGAGGTGTGCATGCATATAAATATATATAAAGGTATGTAGAAATACAGAAATAAATACATATATACACTATATATAAAATGTATGTGTACATAAAGGTATTTAACACCTATATTAAGATATAGATAGATATACACACATGTACAAGTGAAGAGATATATATATACATATTTATAAAAGGTGTATATGTAACAGAGACATATAAATAAGTACATACATATATAAAGAGATATATACATAAATAAAGATAGAGATTTTATGTATATAAAGGTGTTTATGTAAATGTATAAAAGGATATATATATAAATATAAAGACATATAAATATTTACATACATATATAAGGGATATATAGCTAAATAAAGATATATAGACATACATATATGAAAGTGTTTATATAAATATATATAAAGAGATTCATACATGAATATAAAGATATATAAACATGTACATCTAGGGTGCCTGGGTGGCTCAGTTTGTTGAGCGACTGCCTTCGGCTCAGGTCATGATCCTGGAGTCCCTGGATCGAGTCCCGCGTTGGGCTCCCTGCTCGGCGAGGAGCCTGCTTCTCCCTCTAACCCTCCCCCATCTCATGTACTCTCTCTCTCTCTCATTCTCGCTCTCTCAAATAAATAAATAAATCTTTAAAAAAAAATGTACATCCATATATAAGGGATATACAGCCAAGTGAAGATATATAGAGAGTATATATATAAAGTATATATACCATATAAAGGTGTTTATATAAATATATACAAATATATATTTATATGTATTTATATGTACATATATTTATATGTATATATACACACATATATGTATATATATTTATACATATATATACGTATAAATATATGTGTATATATACACGTATGTGTGTATATACCTACGTATATAGACGTTTATGTATATATTTATGTGTATATATTTATATGTATATATGTATATATATGTATTTATATGTAAATATATATAAAGCATATAAAGGTGTTTATATAAATATATATACAAATATATATTTATATGTATTTATATGTACATATATTTATATGTATATATACATATATTTATGTGTGTATATACCTACGTATATAGATAGACGTTTATGTGTATATTTATGTGTATATTATATGTATATATGTATATATATATGTATTTATATGTAAATATATATAAAGCATATAAAGGTGTTTATATAAATATATATAAAATATATATTTATATGTATTTATATGTACATATATTTATATGTATATATATACATGTATTTATATGTATATATCAAGCATATAAAGGTGTTTATATAAATATATATAAAATATTTAAGGGATAAACGCATAGGTAAAGATATAGAGAGACATATGCATATAGAGATGTTTATATAAATGTATATAAAGGGGTATATAGGTAAGTAAAGATATATAGAGATGGGCGCACGTCCAGGTGCATATTTAAAGGTCCGTACGGGAATCCGTACACGAATATAAAGATGTATAAATACGGGGCGCCTGGGTGGCTCAGTTGGTTAAGCGACTGCCTTCGGCTCAGGTCATGATCCTGGAGTCCCGGGATCGAGTCCCGCATCGGGTTCCCTGCTCGGCGGGGAGTCTGCTTCTCCCTCTGACCCTCCTCCTCTCATGCTCTCTGTCTCTCATTCTCTCTCAAATAAATAAATAAAATCTTTAAAAAAAAAAGATGTATAAATACGTACATGCATTCATAAGGGATCTGTGCATGAGTAAAGACGTGCAGAGACGGATGGGCGCAGGTCAGGTGCATATTTAAAGGTCTGTACGGGGATCCCTATGCGAGCACAGAGACACACAGAGAGCTGGGTGTCTCCAAAGCCAAGCACACATCACGCCTTGCAGGATACCTACGTGCACAGAAGTGTCCGGGAAAAGGCACGTGCCCAGGTGTGTGCCGAGCTATAAAGGAACGCACACGCACGAGTATACGCAGACACACACACACGCGCGTTTACACAGACACAACCACCACTTGTCAGTGCAATCTGCCCCGTGGCCCGTGTTGCCCACGACACAAACCTCCAGGGGGGACAGGCGCACGGAGCACGCCCTCCGACGCAGCGTGGGACGCGTGGGACGCGGACGCCCTGTGCAGCGCATCTTCCGCTCGGGGCCGACTCTGCACCCAGGCCTCCCCAACACCTCCCCGGTCAAGAGAGAGAACCTGCGGGCATACCTGCGGGCGGCTTGGGTCTGGGCGGGTAGCGGCCGTCGTCCCGGTCCGTGTTGCCGAAGTAACCTGCGGGGTGCACAGACCATCCCTGAGACCCTGTACGGACAGCGCTCCGTAAACCCCAGCCCGCATGACGGACGCGTGGGCACGTTACGGAGAGCGGGGCAGACCATTTGCAGGACGCCGGGACAGTGGGACCAAACTGCAGGTGTTCCCAGTGCCGTCCAGGTGGGACACCATTCTTCCTTTGGGGAGAAGGTACGGGGGACCCGGCAGCCTGGGGAGGGAAGGTGCTTGGACGGGCCGCTTATGATCCGAGAGTTGAAGGGAGGTGCAGAACGCAGAGGAAGGCAGTGATCCATCATATCTCAGACCCCCAGGCCCCAGGACCTTTGCACATGCCCTCTGCACCGAATGCAGGCTTCTCTTCCTGCCTCAGCCCTTGTGCTAAGACCACCTCCACCCTGGGTGGGACCCCACAGCTCCCACTGCCCCATCCATCCCCGCCCGCTTGGTGGCTGCCGCACCCCCACGCCGAGAACCAAGAACCAGCCTCGGCACAGAGCATGTGCTCACGGAAACACTATGGAATGCCTCTGGATACTGAAACCCGTGGAATTTCCAAGCATACCTGAGCTGACGTGAAAGGAGGTGCTTCTGAAAAGGCCCTAAAGATGGGCGCTGGTTGCCGGGGGCACCAAGCCCCCCTGTGATGAGCGGGTCCTAAATTGCAATCCCGCCCCCCTGACCTCTGGGGACAGGGAAGGCGCCAGAGGTGGAGTTAATCCCCAGTGACCCACGATTTAATCCATCGTGCTTGCGTGATTGAAACCCGCCTAAAACCCAAAAGGACGGGGTTCAGCGAGAGTCGCGGTTGTGGAACGCATCCACATGCCGCATGGGGGACGCACTGCCCCTCCCCGGGGAAACAAGCTCCTGTCCTCGGGACCCCTGCAGATCTCACCCCATGCACCTGTTCCCCCGAGAGCTCGTGCATATCCTTTATCAGACCCTGTAGGGTAAACTATCACCTGTGTTTTCCCCGAGTCCCGTCAGCCAGTCTGGCAAATTAACGGAGCCCTGGGAACCGCCGATCTACAGCCAGACGTTCAGAAGCTCAGGGGACAACCTGCATTTGCAACTCTTGTCTCAAATGGCGACGGTGCCCTTGGACTGAGCCCTTACCCTGCGGGATCCGGGGCTGTTTTCGGGCACAGAGTATCAGAAGCGAGTTAACCGCTCGGTCGTGTCAGCAAACACACACGTCGGATACACCGTGCAGCCTCCCGCACGTCCCCGTGTGGGACAGTGGAATATGGTGATGCATGCTCACCGGAATTTCCCTGCCCTCTTTTGAATAAACTTGCTTACACCCTGAGCCGGTTTTGGATTTTTTTCTTTTAATCAAAATACAGTGAAATTTAATGTGCACTTGGGTCCCCAAAGCTCAGTTTGGGGTTCAGTGATTGCCTTTGTTAACATTCTCCTAGGCACCAAATATCCTGACCCTTTTCTGGGGATGCTGACATATGAAGTCTGGCGAGGGGCCCTGAGCTGCCCGCTGGGGCCAATGGGGGAACGTCTGTGTTTACAATCAGAATAAACCTCGGGGCCTTTAGAGGCGGTGGCCAGCCTATCTGCAGAAGCCGGCAGCTGGATGTGAGTTGTATTGGGGTGTCGGGGTGCAAAGGGGGTTCCAGGGGGCAGCAACAGCACCCATGGCCAACGATCGCCGTCCCCAGATAGGAAACTGAGTATCTTGTCACGGCACTGGCTGCAAGCCGCAGCCTGCCCACCTCCCAGGTGTCTCCTGCACCCACAGGGAGGCAGGTCCTGGCAGAGACCCCACAGCCCTCACATTTGAGCTGGGCAGTTGCTAATGCCATGCAGATGCATGCAGCCAACTTCAGCGTTGGAAGATGTGCATCCAATAGAAAACCCCACAAAAGGTGTCCACCTGCTTGGAAAACCCACAGAAGGCATCCACCTGCTTGGAAAACCCTACCGAAGGCATCCACTTGCTTGGAAAACCCACAGAAGGCATCCACCTGCTTGGAAAACCCTACAGAAGGCGTCCACCTGCTTGCTGCTCCCAGATACCTGAAGCCTGCATGCTTTCTCCCCAAGAGCCAAGACATGGCCCCAGAGATGCATGTTTGGGGACTTAGGATGCCCTAAGCATCCATGGGCAAAATTTGTCTGCACAACCCACCCTTCTCTCCCCGTGGAGTTCCAATGCCCCCTGCCCTCCCAGGGCGTGTGTACAGGACTGAGCCACTTGGGACACAGATGACATCCAAGGGGAACTTCTCAGGGTTTGCAGGACCGTCCATAGTCAGCCTGCGCCTCTTTCCCCTTCCCCATATTAACGATTTGGTCTCTGTCCAGTCTCTGAGAAACCCCCGTGGATATGCACAGCTGTCTGACCCGGGGTCTCATAAAACTGTGAAATGCAAAATCAGGCAGTGACCTGTTCAATTTCTCTCCACAGAAATCGCTCCATAAGGGACACCTGCCCAGAGCTGTGGGGACCCCTGGGAAAGGGGTATATAATAATATAAATATATTATTTATTTTATATATAATTTAATAATGTATATGCTACATATAATGTATATTGTGTGTTATATATATTACATGATATATAATTATAAACCATATAATACAAACATATCATTTATTTTATATATAGTGTATATGCTATAAAATATATGATATATATGATATATAATTATACCTGTCCTGCCATCCAGTAAGGGCCAGCCGCCGAAGACATGGTGGCATCTTCAAGAAGCTGAGTCTCGCGACTCCAGAGAGCTCATGATAGAGCTCATGATTTCTCATTAATTTTGCTTCAAGTGGGATCTCCAGAAACATCTGTGAGCCGTGACCAGCGTCCGTCATGACCCCTCGTTAAGGAGGGGACATGGATGCCATGTTGGAGGACACTGGATGCCATGGCTGGGAATTTGGGGAGGGCATGGGGTCTGTGTAGAGCATTCCAGCAAATGGAGTTGAGGGTGTGCACCCTGACGGAGGGATTTAAGGGTGGATCCTCCATCCCCAACATTGGAGTGCACTCCTTATAAAACAGCCTCTGGACATTTGAAAAACATTGCCATTTCACCATCGAGGACAGAATTTCGAGAGCATCAGTGTGGATGCTGCATCCATCCCCAACGCTTCCGAATCCCGTCTTAATGCGCTTACCTCCACCGCTGTCAGAACCGCCAGGCTGCGGGCGAGGGGGTGGCCTCGGCTTTGGGTAGATACCTGTCAGAAAATAGCAAGGGGATTTTAGGAACGCTCCTGGAAGCCCTTGGCTTAGCCCAGCCTCACATGGCTCTACCTGGTCTTAGGTTTTAGGTTTTGGGCGCTGTTGTATTGCTGAAGACTTTACTGACACTGTGTCCTTTTATTTTATTAAGAAATCTATGGGAACTGGGTCTGCCAGGTTTTTGAAGCCAAGGAGACACGGAGGGTGAATGACTTGCCATGCACAGCGCACACAGGTGGGCGTTTTTGAACGGGACATAATTTGGACCCTACAAACGAGCGGGAGAGGAACTTGTCCTCAGCCTAATTAAAAATCCATTACAAGAACATACAATACCCCCTGATCACACGGTATTTTCCAGCGCTCAGAGCAACGGGAAATAAAATGAGTGATGTCGGTTCAACCTTCTGGCCTCCCCTGCTTAGGAGTGTGACTCGGTTTCCCGCACAGCAAGCTGCTCCTTATTTCAAAAGCAGCCTGATGCACCCCCCACCCCCATAAAGACAAGGCGGGCTTCACGAAACCAGGTTGGAAAGGAGCCCTAAGGCTGAAAATTCTTACTTCCACTGTCGTCCGGCATTCCAGGTTGGGGGCGGTACGGGGGCTTGGGCTTTGGGTAGATATCTGCGGGGAAAACGACATAGCGTTTTTAGCAGAGAGAAATAGCCTTGTGTTATGAGCAGCCTATAAAACAAGGACATGCGCGCGACTATAGATTTTCCACCTTATTCACATCTGTTGTTCACGGTGTTACAGACGACTATCGACCCGCCAGACATGACTGAGTCTATAGATGTAAAATCTCAAAACTGCAACTTAAAGAAAAACCCACACGTGGGTGCACGCACACACACACACACACACACAATTCCTAGAAGCTAGCTTTCACGGCAAGAGGGTGCTAGAGCTCTAGGTTGCTAGCAGGTGCAGGCTTAATGATAAAGTTCAGCTTGCAACTTAAATAAAAAAAAAAAAGGCAGAGAAATTCTCCCGGTGCATTTTTAAATTGATGTCAACGCTTTCTTACTAAACATTCTTCTTCTGGTTGTTGGTTATCTCTCTCTCTCTTTCTTTTATTTTAACTCCATTATTTACTTATATATAATATATCATATGATATAATATCAAATAATATCATATCAAACATCATAGAATGATACATATTATATGTGCTATTATATAACATATATTAAATTTTATTATGTTATGTAAATATATTATTTATTTTATATATAATTTAATAATGTATATGCTACATATAATGTATATTGTGTGTTATATATATTACATGATATGTAATTATAAACCATATAATATAAACATATCATTTATTTTATATATAGCGTATATCCAATAAGATATATGATATATATGATATATAATTAGATATTGTAGTTTATTATATTATATAAATATATCATTTGCTTTACAGGTGTAGTATATATGCCATATTATATATGCTATCTAATATATATGATTATATATTGTCTATTATTATATGGTATATAACTATGTTATTTATTTCATATATAATTTACGAATGTGTATTACATGTGAGTTACCTATGAGCTATATAATTATATACTATATTATAATACATGTGTTCTATAAATCATACCTGTATTACTGAGGTATAATTGACATGAGATTATATTCGTTTCAGGTGTACAACACGATGACTGGGTATTTCTCCACATTTCAGAATCCACCTATCACCATAGATACCAGCTACAACATACTCTTTTTTTCTTGTGGGGAAAAGTTTTCAGATCTACTCTCTGAGCAGACTTCCAACACACAATTCGGCACTATTCACCGTGCCACTCGTATTGGTGAGCCGTCTTCATTGTGATGCACATGGACGCCGTGCGTTGATACCCTTGGTTCTGTGACCCGTCTCCCACAACCACCCCACTGATGGACACTTAGGTGTTATTTTGTACCTCAACTAAGAGGATTCTTTTTACCCAGAGCTCATAAGACGTGTCCCTCTATTCTTCCAACACTTGTAAAGTGTTCCTTTGCATATTTAGGCTTGTAATCCACTTTATGTTTAAGTATTGCATGAGGTAGAGAGTGAATTGGCTATTATCCAGGACAACAGCCACTCACCTCGGCCCTGTTTACAGGACGTGCTCCCTTCCCACTGTTTTCTGGCTCTGACCTCTCTCAGGTACCAAGACGCCCCAGCCCTGGTCACACCTCAGACTTCCACCCTCCCTGGGCTCTTTGTCTGGGCTTTCCTGTCTAGACCCCTGGTCAAAAATGTGCCCATCCCTGCAGAAGTAACAGACTGTCCTCATTCTTAAATCATCCCATGCTACACGAGTATCTACCTCTGAGCTAGAAAGTGCACACATAATAAAAACTGAAGATTATATTGCATGGTGAGATATCACCTCGCACCTGTTGGCTATTACGAAAAAGACAAGAAACAACAGATGTTGGCGAGGATGTGGAGAAAGGGGAAATCTCTGGCATTGTTGGTGGGAATGCAAGCTGGTGCAGCCACTGTGGAGAAGAGCTTGGAGGTTCTTTAAAATATTAAAAGTAGAACGACCCTGTGATCCAGTAATTCCACTAACTGGATGTTTATCTAAAGAAAACAAAATTACTCTCTTGAAAAGGTATCTGCACCCGCATGTTCACTGAATCATTATTCACAATAGCCAACAGATGGAAGCACACCCCCAGGGTCCATTGATAGATGAATGGATAAAGAGAATGTAATATATATGTTACAGTGTAATGTATAGATATAGATATATTGTACCTACATGCGGTATGTATAAAAGAGAATGTAATATATATTTTGCAATGTAATGTATATATCATAATATATACAAATATATTGTGTCTATATGTAGTATGTATATTGTAATGTAATGTATATATTATAATATATAGATATAGATATATTTATATGAATATATATATTGCAATGTAATACATTGCAATATATTCAGATAGAGATATACTGTATATTTATGTAATATGTATATTGCAATGTTATGTATATATTGCAATATATACAGATAGAGATACAGATAGAGATATATTGTATCTATATGTAATATGTGTATTGCAACATAATGTATATGTTACACTGTATCTATATGTAATATGTATATTGCAACATAATGTATATAATATATACAGATAGAGATATATTGTATCTATATGTAATATGTGTATTGCAACATAATGTATATGTTACACTGTATCTATATGTAATATGTATATTGCAACGTAATGTATATAATATATACAGATATAGATATATTGTATCTATATGTAATATGTGTATTGCAATATATTCGGATATAGATATAATGGAATGTTACTCAGCCATGAAAAAGAAGAAAATCCTGCCATTTGTGACAATATGGCTAGAACTTGAGGGCATTATGCTAAGTGAAATAAGTCAGACAGAGCAAGACAAAGACCACACATCTCACTATATGTGGAATCTTAAGAAAACAAAAATAAAGTAATGGCAAGGTCATAGACACAGAGAACAGATTGCTGGTTGCAGAGATGGGAGGTCAGGGAGGCCAAAATGGTTGAAGGCAGTCAAAAGGAAATCATAAAAAAAAGATGTCGCTTAGGTGCACACATCCAGCAGAAATCAAAATGAAGCAAAGCGAGGGAGCTCATCTATATAAAATTCAGTGTCGTGTTTAACTCTGACGGGGAGACGGGGAGATAGGAAGGGAGTTCGCAGGTAGATGTATCCTATCGTCAAGTACCAGTTCCTGAATTCATCATGAAATTACTTAAAATACAACAAGACTCTCCTTGGACAAAGACAACAAAGGCACATAAAACAAGGATCACAATTCATTGAAATTCTGTGCAGGTTTTAGGTTTTTGGAGTTGTTGCATTGCTAAGGACTTTATTGACAATGTTTCCTTTTATTTTATTTTTTATTTAATTTATTTTATTTTATTTTACGTTATTTTATTTTATTAAGAAATCTATGGGAACTGGGTCTGCCAGGTTTTGAAGCCAAGGAGACACAGAGGGTAAATGACTTGCCATGCACAGCGCACACAGGTGGGCGTTTTTGAACACGACATAATTTGGACCCTACAAACTTGTCCTCAGCCTAATTAAAAATCCATTACAAGAACATACAATACCCCCTGATCACACGGTATTTTCCAGCGCTCAGAGCAACGGGAAATAAAATGAGTGATGTCGGTTCAACCTTCTGGCCTCCCCTGCTTAGGAGTGTGACTCGGTCTCCCCCACAGCAAGCTGCTCCTTATTTCAAAAGCAGCCTGATGCACCCCCCACCCCCATAAAGACAAGGCGGGCTTCACGAAACCAGGTTGGAAAGGAGCCCTAAGGCTGAAAATTCTTACTTCCACTGTCGTCCGGCATTCCAGGTTGGGGGCGGTACGGGGGCTTGGGCTTTGGGTAGATATCTGCGGGGAAAACGACATAGCGTTTTTAGCAGAGAGAAATAGCCTTGTGTTATGAGCAGCCTATAAAACAAGGACATGCGCGCGACTATAGATTTTCCACCTTATTCACATCTGTTGTTCACGGTGTTACAGACGACTATCGACCCGCCAGACATGACTGAGTCTATAGATGTAAAATCTCAAAACTGCAACTTAAAGAAAAACCCACACGTGGGTGCACGCACACACACACACACACACACAATTCCTAGAAGCTAGCTTTCACGGCAAGAGGGTGCTAGAGCTCTAGGTTGCTAGCAGGTGCAGGCTTAATGATAAAGTTCAGCTTGCAACTTAAAAAAAAAAAAAGTCAGAGAAATTCTCCTGGTGCATTTTTATTTTATTTTATTTTTTTATTTTTTTTTTCCTGGTGCATTTTTAAATTGATGTCAATGCTTTCTTACTAAACATATTCTTCTTCTGGTTGTTGGTTATCTCTCTCTCTCTTTCTTTTATTTTAAATGTATTATTCATTTATATACTATATGTTATATTATGACATATGCTAATTATATCTTATATATAACTATATATTAAATGTTATGTTATATAAATATATTAAATATATTATTTATATTATTTATTTTATATATAATTTAATAATATATGCTTATATATATTATTACATATGATATAGTACATATACACATAATATATATTATATGAATATATATATTAATATCTTATATAACTATATATTAAATGTTGTTATATAAATATATTAAATATATTATTTATATTATTTATTTTATATATAATAATATATATGCTACATATAATATATATTGTGTGTGTCATATATGTACTATATCATATATAATTATATAATATAAATAGACTATTTTCTATATAGTATATATGTTACATAATATATATTACATTATATGTAATTACAGATTATATTTTATTATGTTATATAAATATATTATTTACTTTGCATGGATATCATATATGCTATATAGTATATAATGTATGTAATTATATATTATATTTCATTATATGGTATATAAACATATTATTTATTTTATATATAATTTATTCTTTTATGTTTTAAAAGACTGTCTATTTATTTTAGAGAGAGAGAGTGGACAGCGGAGAAGCGGAGGGGGAGGAAGGGGGAAAGAATCTCAAGCAGACTCTGCGCTAAGTGCGGAGCCAGATGCTGGGCTCGATCTCAGGACCCTGAGATCATGACCTGAGCTGAAACCAAGAGTCAGACACTTAACTGACTAAGCCACCCAGGTGCCCCATATATATAATTTAATAATGTATGTACTGTATATAATGTATAGTATGTGTGCTCTATTTGTGCTATGTAATATATATAATTATATGTTGTATTTTATTGCATGGTATATATTATTTATTTTATATATAATTTAAGAATGTATACTGCATGTGACCCACCTATGTGCTATGTAATTATATATCATAACACGTATGTTGTATACGTCACGTCTCTATTACTGAGGCGTCATGGACATAGAAGGTTATATTAGTTTCAGGCGTACAACATGACGATTGGGTATTTCTGCACATGTCAGAATCTCGTTAACACCCATCACCATAGCTACCAGCTACCACACGTTCTTTTCTTCTTGTGGGGAGAACTGTCCAGACCCACGCCCCGAGCAGCCTTTGAGCGCACAATTCGGCATTCGTTCCTGTTGGCGAGCCGTCCTCGTTGTGGTGCACGTGGACGCCGTGCGTCCATACTCACCTGAGCTTGGCTTCTTGGTGGGTTCTGTGCACAAAGAGAAAAACACAAATCCAATCAGCATCGAAGATTTGTGCACAGCTCACAGAAGGAACAGTTAACACCCTTATAAAAAGGGAAAATTTCAAGGACTAAATATGACATGTTTTGAACACAAATCTCATCGTGTATTGTTGCGGGAGGGGGGAGAAAAGAAAGAAAACACACTTAGAATCTACATCGACCAGTCCTCCCCGGGAGTTGTGCAGGGTTGGGGTGGGTGGGAGGAAACTTAGTGAGGTGGTCCACTCGGCTCGTGAGCACCTAAGTTAGAACAAAGGCTTTTTGGTGGCGAGGGAGAGATACTCTGCACAAAGGCCGACTTAGCCGAGAGCACCCAGGGCCGGCGGGCATGTACGTGGTGACTCGTGCATCAGGAAGGCGGCCACGTGTCATCTTCTCTCTCTCTCTTTCATGTGTGTGTTTATTCAGTCAACAAACGCTGCCTGAGTGCCCACGGGCACCGGGGACTGTGTAACGGGGGTGCACACAGCCCCCCAGGCGATTGCACAACCACGAGGCCAGCGTTCGAGGCCGTGGACATCAGCTGGGCGGTGCCTGGGGTGCAGAGCACCGTGTGGGTGAGCGTGCATGTAGGGTCTGGGGGCGCAGACGGACGGCAACAGGAGCTCAGCGGAGGGAAGACGGACGGGACGGCCTGGTGCACGATGGCCAGGCTCCTTCCGAACAGACGAGACCACATGTCCTCGCTGTCCACCCACGCGGTGGCAGGTGCCTGAGCTCCTTCCTTTCCAGGGCTGAGTCAGATTCCTTCCGTGCAGGGACCATCTGCCCCGGGGCTACCCTGCCCTCCAAGCTGTGCACACCGGGGACAGTGAAGCCTGAGGACCCCACTGCACCTTGACAGGGGAAACAGAGTCTCCACCTTGGCGTGCGTCCACCATTAGCTTCTCCCACTGCACGGACCGTCATCCCCTACCTGCCCCATGGTGGTTCAGATCAGTGAAACCCTCCGTGCACGGGGAAAATCCCCATGGGGGTGGGTGGTTTTGCATCAGGGAGTCTCTGTCCTTTGTAAGGTAGGGGTCTGCGTGCCCACCCCGTCCTCATTGTTACCACCCCTTGTCTACCTGCACTGAGTGACCGTGGGCTGTGCCGGAGCCAGAATCCGCTGATGATCCTTCTCAGAGCAGACAAGCCTTTGTCTTTCTTCCAAAACAAGACCCCCCTCCCCATCCCACCGTGTGTGCGTGGACACCCCGTGTCTCCCAGCTAGACCTGATTCCAGACCCTCCTGCACGGTCCAGGAGCTGATTATTCAGCTTTCTGGCAGCAAGCACATCCAGCTGGGCTCAAAAATGCTAAAGACAGGGCACGGGGGGCTCTCCAACCCCACGCCCCCTCTCCGGGGAAAGCGAGCAGCCTCGTCCACGGAGGTGGATGGAGAACCTGCTGGGAGGGAGGTCCCCCAGACCCCCTGAGCAGCTGCCAAGCTGCGGCGAAGGAAACCTTCCCCCCCACCCCGAAATACGGTCACTCACCGGGGTCATCGAGAGCGTCGGCCAAGTCGAAGTCACGCTGACCTGTGGGGGGCACAGAGGGTATAAGTGGACCAGACAGGAGACGTCAGGGGTCCTGGTTCCTGGCTGCAGGCTGCTCCCCTCCGCCGCCTGCCCATGCTGAGCCACACAGGGGCCTTGGCACGAAGGTCAGCCCACCGCGAGAGCTCAGCAGAGGGTCGCAGTGTCTCGACCTCCCCCACCCCGTGTGTTTGTCCGACGAATATCCCGTCTTTCCCAGCAGCTGGGTGCCCCTCACCCAAGACGCATGTTTTGGCAGATTATTATGGCGTTGCAGTCTCCAAGGAGGAAAGAATCCTCCTGGGATCCCAACTCCTTCTAGCTCCCTCCCAAGCTGAACACGGGCATGTTTCCGAAACGCCAAGCATCTGTGCGTTCTGCAAACACCGCTGGGTGTTGGGCGTGTGCCAATGAACCCCCCAAGCCCTGCTTCCCAGCTCTCTCAGGGGAGACAGGTGCATGAGCACCCCGAAAGGGAGGGACGGGCTGCCTCGGGGACCAGAAAAACGAGGCAGTGGGCAATTGCTCTTCTTGTGTGAGCACACCTGGAGGTCTTCCAGGAGGAGGTGACGTGTGAGCTGTTTCTAAGGTGCCCGTTTTCTCACGACAACGAAACACCCCAATAATCAGAGAGCAGCACCTCCTAGGCAAGAGAAGTTCCCTCACGTCAAGGGACAGAAACTAATATTTTTAAAATCGGGCCGAATGGGAAACAAAAGCAATCAGCACAGCCCACACAAAAGCCAGCAAGATCCGCACAACCCACCTGGCCGAGTGGTGGCCACGGCCCGAAGCTGACATCCAAGACTAGCGAGCTGCACCCCGCTTGTCCCTCTGCTCCCGAAGCCACCGTTTGGGACGCGACCCTGCCCGACCGACCGCAACAAGGACTCAAAACCAAGTGCTTTTCCCTATTGAACCCGGAGCCCAAACCTCCCCCTGCCGAGCGAGCCAGCGCCGTGTTACTTCCGCTTTGCAAACCGGGGCCTGACAACAAAGCCTTCCCTGACCTCTGACTGAGTCCTTGCCCTGCAGGAATTTGGTGAGACGGTCCCCAGGAGCCAGTCCCCACCCCCATTTCTACCTTCAAGAATGCCCCCCCGGGGGGGAAATGCATGTGCAGAATTTGGGGTATTTTCCTCTCTACGGGTGGGTGTGCGATGCAGGCCCGGCCACAGGCCACCCCCTCGCTTTCCAGGACCTCCCCCGGAAGGCTTTGCTCAACACTCCCAACCAGGCCCTCCTCCCCGAGCTCACAAATTTCTGCGGCTTCCTGGCAAAGAAGTCTGGAATCTCGGCAGGAGCCGAGACCGTATTTCTGCTTTTTCGCTGGCTCAACTCGAAGTCGCTCTGGGTGGAGCAACGTGCATGGGGGGGACGGGGAGTGTGGCTGTCCAGCTTGGGGACGGGGGTCCCCCCTGGGTGGACGGCTCGGATGCTCTCCAATCCCAGGGTGCTGATACACCTCCTGCATTCACCCAAACTCTTGGAATTTCTCCATCTGAAATGCTTCCCCTGGGGACCCTTATCCGTGTGTATTTTCTCTAAAAAAACCCCAAAATCTTTTAAATGAGCTGAGGATGGCCCTGGGCCACCCCAAGTTCCTCTCCTGCCCATTGAGACTTTCCCTCCCGCACAAATTTGCCCCTTTCGCTGCTCCCAAAATTACAAGAGCGAAGTCAGAGGACGTTTCCGATTCTGGCCCATTTGAATCCCCTTTTGGGGGTGACAACTTTTTTTTTTTCCCCAAACAGCTTCGCTGAGATAGAATTCGCCGCGCCGACGACTCGCCCATTTAACGCGTGCACTAGGGCGGCGTGGAGCACGTTCCCCGGGTCATGTAACGACCGCCTGTCTCTATTTCCAGAACATTCCACTGCCTGCAAAGGAGACCCACCAGCAGCCCGTCTCCAGGCCCCTCCCCAGACACCGGTGACCGCAGACCAGGAGCCGGTTTCCTGGGGGGCCTGATGGGCAGAGTCAGAATTCACGCTGGGCCCTCGGGCAGCCTCCGCCGCAGCCCCGCGCTCCGGGAAGGAGTCTGGGCGTCGGGAACCAGGTGACCCCTGGACGCTGGGTGGCCTCGGCGTGCAGCAAGCTTTGCTCGGCAAGGACAGGCCTCTGAGGGTGGGGGACCCCTAGGCTGGGGTGCAGCGAGCAGCAAGCCCCGCGGTCCACACGGGAGGCCCCGGGGGACGTGCCCCCTCCAGAGCCAATCGCACTGAGCGGCTTCCGACTGTGGAGTCGTGGCTATGTCCCTGCGGGGCAGGGGGCCCGTCTGCCTGGCCAGGGTCTGCTCCGCTCCAGCCTCTGACTGCTACTCGTGCAGGAACAGCCTGGGCTCCATCTGCCGCCCCAGGGGCTCTCTCTGGCCACCCTCGTCCAGGGCGGACGCGCAGGACTCCGCGTCAGGCTGGCTTCTCAGACAGACACCCCCTCGCAGGGCGCTGGGGGTGCACAGGCTGGGGGTGCACACCCCTTCCGTGCAGCTCCCGTGCACAGCCCCCCACCCCCGCAGGTCCTGACATTCAGGAATGACCATCGCCATTCTGAGCCAGGGCCTCATCCCCGGAGTTCCAGGCACCCCGCATCACACCGGCGGCCCGTAAGCTGCTCCACATGCCTCGACCACGCCCGTCGTCCCAGATGAGCAAAAGCCTCTGTGTTATCCGCCCTGCCCACCACCCGGCTGGCCTCTCCCGAATGCCTGTGCCCAGCGGGTGGGGGCTGCCCGCACTGCATGTAGGATCCCTGACCCCTCCTCCTCTCTGCATGCATCAGGAACCACGGTGCACCCTCCCCGCCTCTGCAAGCCGCCCTGGCCTCCGGGTCCCCTCCCTTATCAGCAGTACCTTTGCCAGGATGGAAATGCTTCCTGAGCTCTGGGTGGGGGAGATGGGTCACCCCATGGGTCACCAGGCAGCCACACCTGGAAACATGGGGTTTACCCTGAAAGGGCTGCTGTGTGAGCAGGACTCATGCATGCAGCGGGGAGGGACTCCCCGGGACCTCTTGCATCAGTTGGCGACTCTGGCCAGCATCAGGCACCCATGTGGGGACCGTCCAGTCCTGCAAGCCAGGCGGAGCACCTGCGGCCAAGACGTGGCAGGGGTCCCACCCGTGGCAAGGGGTCCCCATGCATTTCAGGTCCTAGCTGGGCTGGGAGCTCACTCGGGCTGACAAGACTGCTCCTGGGCCTCAGTCTCTGGAGACACCCAGGCAGGGAGGGTGTGCATGAGCCCATTGCACTCATCGGCATTATTTTTCCACTCAGAGCACATGACGTGGCTCGTGTCCCAAGACCTGTTTCTGATCTCGTCTCTCCTTTTGCTTAGTGAGCTCAGGGACGTTTAATCAAACCCACACGTTTTGGATCCATGACCCCAGGGAGAAAGCAGCGTCCCGGGTCCTGGGGTCATGACGCTGGTGATCCTGCTGAGATCCCGGGGACGTGGGCTCACGGTGGCTCGTGCTGGTGGGTGTCTGGCGGTCAGCATTATATACAAGACCCCCTCCCTCCACCAAAAACAAAACCAAAAAGCTATTTGGGGTCTTTGAGTAGCACTTGGAGGAATTTTGTCATCTCCAGGGGCTGTCCTCTCCTGGACCGCCAACCCCTCGACCCCCACAAGACTCCCATCTGCTTCCTACTGCACTTTTCACGCCCTGAATTTCTCAGCTTTGATGCGCACCCTCAAGTCAACATGACACACGGCAATCTGCAAAGCCAACAGCAGGACCCTGGTTGGGATAATCATCATACCACGCCGATGTTGTCAGAGTCCCCGCCGCCCACTCATCCAGGGCTGCCACGCAAACCAGGAGCCACGCACAAGCCCACACCAGAGCTCCCCCCCGGCCCTGCCCCCACAACCACTGAATTATCGACTCTGATCTAAAGGAGAAAATCAGCCCCAGGCAAGCTCCGAGTACAAGAAAGTGAAAAAAAAAAAAGCACGAATTTAATGACCGTGGACCACACTCATCGCGTGGCCGATCACCCACTCATGAACGTGGACAGGCTCTGACATGCTATTGTTCCAACCAGTGTCCTTGTATCTGTGTCCCATCCAGGAAATTATGCGTCATTTCTTCACACAGGATTTGACTGATTTCCCCAAGTGGGGGGCTAATTGAAATCAATCCTTCCGGGTCAGCTGCCACCGAGTGCATGGCTCACGTTTATAGGACCCGTTTCTGTCCTTCAGAATCCCCCCCATGGGGCCGGCGCTGGAGCAGGGATGCCCAGAGAGCAAATCGTGACTTCCTCCAGGCAAATCCTTTGACTCTGCTCCATTGTTCTTAAATATATATATATATATATATATATATATATATATATATACACATATATATATATATATGAATGTACAGAAAGCACATTTTGGGGGCTCTTCCCCAGGATAGAGAAAATTAACAGTGCACGTAGGTGAGCCGTTTAGGTTTGCACAGACTGTGATAAGGAGCCCAGGGGTGACGCATCCAGGTGGGTGTGGGTGCATCGCCTCTGGGCTCCTTGTTCTCCTGCTGGAACACCTCTGCATAAATGTGTAAGAGTCTCCGGGTGCTCACGAGGTTTCTGTTTCCAGCAGCAGCAAGGGTTATACAAGAGGGCTGGGTTCTCATGCTGCATAACTCAGCATGCACGTGCAGGGACGCCATGAGGGACTCTCTCCCCAGGGGCGGCAGTGCTGACCCTCCATGGAGATGAGCAGGTGGTCCCCTCGAGCTCCACCCCATCCTGCTTGCCCTGCAGCTGATTACAGCTGAGCCGCTCTTGCAAGGTCAACCAGTTGTCCCGGTTCCTAGTGTTCCCAGGTCCCCTTTCAATGAAAGCCCTCCACCCCGACGACATGCACAGTCCTGGGAGGGGAAGTACTTGGTCACAAAGGACTAAAGGTTGGATATTCATCACAAAAGCCAAGACATCCATCGTGAAATGCAGACCGTCCAACGAGGCAGTGTCCCAGAATGATGCGTACACATGGACCCCCGAGGACGTGGGTGACATGCAGCCCCTACCATGGCAGCTCTGGGTGTGCCAGAGAGGCTGCGTTTCTCTGCAGCTCCTGGGGGAGACTGAGGCTGTGGGCTGTGGACTTCACTTTGCAGGGCAGGGGCTTTGTGTTCCCTCCAGGTCCCAAAGGCTGAGAGTCTGAGATCTGGGCGGGACCGAGGCTGGTTCCTCCTGAGGCCTCTCTCCTTGGTGTGTAGACCCCGTGTCCTCCCTGTGTCCTCACGTGGTCGTCCCTCTGTGCCTGTCCTCATCCTATCTTCTTAGAAGGACCCCAGTCCTATGGGATCAGGGCCCACCCTAATGACCTCACTATACCTTAATCCCCTCTTTAAAGACCCCCACCTTAAAACACAACCCCATTCTGAGATCTTGGGGTTAGGGCTTCAACCTGTGAATTTTGAGGGGACACAGTTCAGCCCATAACAGACTTAAACTGGCAGAAGCTGAACCACCATGGAATCACCACCGGACGCTCTGGTAGGATGGAGTGGAGGCCCTCACCCGGCCCCAGTCCTAGGAGCAAAAGGAAGGAGATTTTCGGCAGAGCTGTATGAGGACAGACCGTGCACGGAGTGCTGAGTCCACACCAGCGCTGTTCCTCAGCCTCAGGACTTCTGCCTCCATGCCTCTCAGACCCTCAAGGGCGTGCAGATCAGCCCATAATCTGCTTACGAGCAGATTCTGGATCAGCAGGTCTGGGTGAGTCCGAAACTACGTTTCTCCAGGGTGTTGGTGCTGCTGGCCTGAGGGCCTCAGTCTGCAAATACACCATGTGAACAAGAAAGACATCCTTCCTCCCTGTTTTGTCCAGTTGACCAAACCCCCGAGGATCTGAGAGGTCCTCACCCCCTTCAAGAAAATAAGAGCCAAACAAGAGCCCCAGGCTGCTGCTTCCCAGGAGGAGGAGGGAAGGCAGCTTTGCACCAGCTGTGGAGGCGTCTGTCCATGCAGTGTGCAAATATTCCAAGTTGATGCCCTGTGGGCCACCTTCAGAGCAGCCCTGTCAGTAACTCCAGGAAACTCCAAGGGACAGCCATGGGTCTTGAACAGAAACAGCTCTGTTCTCTTGCAAAAGGAAACCTATCACCTTTTGGGTATAACTTGCATGCACATGGGACCTTCCCGCTTCCCCAAAGACCTCTGAATACAGTGAATCTGGCCTCATATTTTACTCAGAGCCTTAAAAACTAGAGAGGCTGATGGATGTCATCTGGGGGGAGGACACTAGATGCTCCCCGCGTGCCCTGGATAAGAGGCAGGGGCTCCCCAAATTGCTGATGCAGGAGGACCACCTGCAAAGCTGAGAAAGCATCCAGAGCGGGGCCCAGGACTCTGCATCTTGACCCTGTCCCCCAGCAATCCTGACGCCCGTTGCCCAGCAAAGTTTCCCAACTACCTCCCCCGAGTATCAGCACTTTGTCCAGATCATATTTTATTGTGATCCACAAGGATAAAAACAAAATATTGGAAGAAAACATTTTGAAAACTCTTGAGAATTTGCTCCAAGGTCGCCCCGGAAAGCCGTCTGAACACTCAGAGCAGAAGGCACAATGCTTTGCATGCTTTGCCCCCTTGGTTCTCAAGAATGTGGCAATTTCTACAGCAGCTGTGCTCACCAGAGACAGCCCCCTCAAGGGCGTAGCTCAAGGTCACAGGGAAAGTGGGGATACTAAAAGATTTAACAGCCCTGCCTCCATTCCAGCCCCGCAACAGAAACAAACACGGGAGTATTTCTGACGACACAGCTGAGGGACCCCGGGGGGCTGAGAATAGGCAGAAAGACCTTGGAACCCTCCGGAAAATCTGCAGAGTTGGCATCTCAGGCAAGGGAAGTGGAAACATGAAAACATCCCAGATGGTTCATATTTTGTGTCAATGTGGCCAGGCTTCAGGGCCCAGATGTTTGGTCAAACACTAGTGTAGATGTCACTGTGCCAGTATGTTATCAATGGGACTGCCACCTGCAATCACGTGCTGGGAAAGCATATCACCCTCGGTAATGTGGGTGGGCCTCTTCTGATGTGATGAAGCCTTAAACACAATGAGCGAGGTTTCCTGGAAAAGAAGGTAGTCAGACTCAACACGGCAGGGTCGCATCCGAGCTGAGTTTCTAGCCTGCCCTCATGGTTTTGGACTTGCCAGCCCCACACTCCTGTGGGGCAATTCCTTAAAATAAATTTCAGTCTATAGATTGACAATGATGATAATGATATATATATAGATAGATGATAGATAGATAGATAGATAGATAGATAGATAGATAGACAGATAGATAGATAGATAGATATGATGGATGGGTGGATAGATGGGTGAGTGGGTAGAAGGATGGATGTATGGATGGATAGATAGATAAATGATGGGTGGATAGATAGATGAATGGGTGGATGGATGGATGGATGGGTGGGTGGATGGATGGATGGATGGATGGATAGATGGGTGGATGGATGGATAAATAGATAAATGATGGATGGATAGATAGACGGATGGATGGATGGATAGATGGGTGGATGGATGGATAGTTGGTTGGATGGATGGGTGGATGGATGGATGTATGGATGGATAGATAAATGATGGATGGCTAGATAGATGAATGGATGGATGCATGGATGGATGGATGGATGGATAGATGGGTGGGTGGATGGGTGGGTGGATGGGTGGGTGGATGGATGGATCAATAGATAGATGGATAGATAGAAAAATGATGGATGGATAGATAGATGAATGGATGGATGGATAGATGGAAGAATGGATGGATGGATTGATACATAAGTGATGGATGGATGGATGGATAGATGGATAGATAGATGAATGGATGGATGGATAGATGGATAGATGGGTAGATGGATGGATGGATACATAAATGATGGATGGATAGATGGACAGATCAACAAATACATAGATGTACGTATGTATAGGTGGACAGGTAATAGATGGATAATATTTAGATACATAGATCAGACACACAGACAGATGGAGTCTCTCATGCTAACATGAGATTTCTCAACCTGAGCACCAGTAACATTTGGGGCTGGATCACTCTCTGACATGTGTGGCAGACATTGGGCAGCAACCTCGGCTTCCACCCATTTGAGGACACCAGCTGACCCACTCACAGTTGTGACAGCGAAACATGACTCCAGATATTGCCAAGTGTCCCCTGGGGGCAAAGTGGCCCCTAGTTGAGACAATGGCAGGCTGCATCATGTCTATCTAGAGGATGTCCCTTCTGGCCTGGCTGTGCTGGCTAATGATGCATCACTGAATGGGGAACCCCAGAATAGCTGTCCCCTTATGTCACGGATCAGTGAGTCTCCACCCTCGTGCCACGGATCCATGAGTCTCCACCCAAGGGTATACCAGATGGCCCGGTGCTTACTCATCATCCCTTCAAGGGAGCCTTGACTCTGCACAGAGTCCCTCTGGGTGCTTTTGAATCTACAGGTTCCGAGCCCCACCCACATACCATATGAGCATCTCAAGGGGCAGGGCCTTTAATCCAGCTCCCTCCCAGGTGATTCTGCACACCAAGGATTGAGAACCACTGCCCTACATAGCTGGGCAGTTTCGGCCCCACTGTTGGGCATGACAAAACAGGCTTAAATGACCCATCTGGGGCTTGGCCTTCCCACCCACAGATCAGCTAGATCAAAGGTAGTTTGGGGGCCACGAGGAAAGAGGCAGAATCAAGGGAGACTCTTGATTGGTTCTGGGGTGCAGCCAGCGTGGGCTGGAGTTCCGTGGCCCAGCATGGCCTGGCTTGTTGCCTCGGGCACACATCCCACCCTTCGAGTATCACCAAACCACAAGGCCCCACAGACCTCAATGCAGCACGTGATGCAATAATATAATAATATATTACAATAATATATATACAAGATAAGATATATTTAGGGGGAAAAGACACATAAAGATAGATATAAATAGTTTCTTTTTTCTCAACAGACCCAAAACCACAAGCTGGCCTTGGCAAGTTTCATTTCCACTCCTGCTTCCTCATTGTGACCTCAGGCACATGATGGAACCTCACCCCGTGCCTCGTTTACCCATCTATAAGGTGGCGGCAAGCACGGCACCATCATCAGGCTGCATGAGAATCAGCTGGGAAGCTGATGTGTGCGTGGAGTGCGGGAAGCTTTGCCCTCCAGCTGACCCTCAACATCCCATCGGCCCCCAGAGAACCAACGCCTTGTCCCGAGAACACACCTCGAACAGGATAAACGGGACACGCCCCAACAGGGACATCTGAATTCAATCCTGCTACTCCTAACCAACACCACCTCCCAATCCTCCATCCCACCCGACCTTCCGTGCTTGAAAGGAGAGTATTAAAATGACCAGAGGGGTTGTTTCGGTCCCGTTTCTCATGAGTTCATTACAGTTCCTAAATAGCCTAAGTAGCCGCCTGCCCCACCCTCCAACAAACCAAACACCCCCCGAATCTGGGAGACAGCCCGTGAGCTCCAGCTCCAGTTTTGTGCGTAAACAACTCACATGACTTTCTTTTGCAAGAAGGAAGGATGACATTTATCCAGACGGCTGCAGAATCCAAACCCGAGTACCCGACGAAAATGGGCAGAACTAATCTTTTCCATCCGGAACAAGGAATTTAAAAGACACCCCCCCCCCCCGGCACCCTGTCGAGCTTAAATTCCGGGGTAGGACGGGCTGTGTTTGAAACGCAGAGCGGAAAAGCAGAGAACGCCGCTTGCTTCCAAACGCTGTTGGTCCGTGTTGTGCAGTTCCAGGTCCAGGTCCCCGGGCTCTCAAGTGGCCCCCGTGTCCCCTCTGCCTTCTCAGAAGGCACCATTCCCGTCTCCTCTAGTCCCCCCTGGCAACTTCTAAGCGTTTGTTTGGTAGAAGCTGCTTTGGAGGAGTTTTGAGAAGGAACCAGACAGCAAGCACAACACCCACGCGGCTCTCCCTCGGGGCCAAGACGCCTCTTACCTTGGATGTGCATCAGAAGGCCCAGCACCGTGATACAGAAGAGGCCCCAGCGGCTCTCCATCCTTGGCGGCAGCACGAAGGAGCCTCCGTGGAGGCCCCAGCCCAGCGACTCGTGAGATCCGGCCCTCCCGGGCCCCACCCTCCGTGTGTTGGCTTCCTGTCTCTCAGCTTGGAAGAAAGGGAGGCGACATTCCAAGCGGAAAGTATGAACCAAGCTGCAATCCCTTTGCCAAAAGCTAATGCACCCCGTGCTCAGATTCCAAACCCCACAGCCTAGAGCCCATGAGGCAAGCGCGTGCACGCTGAAGGCCGACCCGGGCCTCCCAGAGCGGCGCTGGCCGGCCAACGCTCAGCTCGGCAGGGAATCCAGCATCACCTGGCGCCAATGGGCATCCTCCGCTTTGGGAAGCCGGGCACACCTGCTCTGCAGCTCTGCTCCCTGCAGGCGTGGGAGGCGCCACGAGATCAAAGGTTGGCCAACCCTGAGCACAGGGAGGACGCTCCCTGCCCATAGATTTGTAGATTCTAGGCTTGCTGCTTCCCAAGGGTGGGACTTCAGATGAGTTCACGCATTCATTCCACAAACACTGTGGACGCACGTCTGTTCCGAGCCAGGCCCAGGCTAGGTGCCGGGGTTGCGGGGGTGAAGAACGAATCGTTGTTTACAAAGGGAGGGGACATCGAAAGTTAAACCAGATGATGGCAGTGTGACATTACATAATGCAGGGAAGCACACAGAGGCCACAAATTTGATGGAGAGAAAGGGAAGGGAGAACATTCCGGGTGAGCAAAGCAGGATGTGTGGTCCTCTTCTGTGCTCTTGAGTCTGGTCTTCGATAATAAGGTCTATGCTGGGCCCGTTGAGGATTAAAATGACAATCGGCCATGTCTTGATTTTGCTAGTCCTTGTCAGACCTGGCAGGGTCTAAACTCAGCCGGGCGTGGGCTTCTAGAGAGGGTGGTAACCTCTAGATAGATGATTTCAAAAGCTGAGTAGGAAGGACATAAGATGGCAGGGACAGAGCGTTTGGGCAGAGGAAGGTGTGGGGTAAATGTACTCAGTAGGAAACAAGGAGCCCAAGGCGACTGTGGGGGACAACTCTAGGGGGTGCTGTGCATACCACCAACTGTTACAGACTGAAGGTTTACATCCCCCCAAGACTCATATGTTGCGGCCCTATCTTCCAATGGGGTGGGATTGGAGGTGGGCCCTTTCGGAGTGATTACATTGAGATCAGGTCATGATGGTGGGCACCATGATGGGATTTGTGTCTTTATAAGAAGAGGAAGAGACACCACGTGAGAACACGGGGAGAACACTGTGTCTATATCTCAAGGAGAGAGGCCTCAGGAGGAACCAGCCTCGGCCCTGCCTGGATCTCAGACTCCCAGCTTCTGCCCCACCTGGATCTCAGACACCCAGCCTCCAGGATAGTGAGAAGTAAATGTCTATTGTTTGAGCTGTCCTGTCCTTGGCATCTTGTCCTACCAGCCCAAACGGATGACCGTGCCAACTAGGATGAGTGCTCTAGAGGTGAAGAGTAGCCACTATTTGCCTCGTTCCTTGTTAACGTAGAGTGTGACTTAGCTTGTGTCGATGTGACAGCATCTGATAGAGAACTCATGATATTCTGTACATCCTACAGATGATACTTTCTCCGCTAAACCATTACTTGTCCATGTAGGGATGGGGGTGTGGCATTTAGAGGTCAATGGTGTTGTACGGTTGACACTGGGACCCATTCAATGCTTTGTGGGGCATCAGAATAGAGAATGCATTTGCCCCGATATGTATGGACTTTGTCTGACTCTCTGTTTGTGGAGAGTCCATATTCCAAATTGAAATATGCCACAGCCAATGTTGAAAGTAGCACAAGGCCCATTGTATTTTGTGTCTCATTTTGTGCCGCAGCAAAGGGACCTAATGACCGTGTGGAGTGGAGGAGCAGGACCTATTGAAAGTTATCTTACGGCTGTTCCTTCCCCCCAAAACAGTCAGGACCATGAAACATCTGAGTTGGGCCTTCAAGCACAAGTACAAATTTGATGGAGAGAAAGGGAAGGGAGAACATTCCGGGTGAGCAAAGCAGGATGTGTGGACCTCTTCTGTGCTCTTGAGTCTGGTCTTCGATAATAAGGTCTGTGCTGGGCCCATTGAGGATTAAAATGACCACCGGCCGTGTCTTGATTTTGCTAGTCCTGAATGCTGTATAAGGATTTCAGTTCTGCAGGCTGGGGGGACCACATTGCATGTGTAATCAGGGGAGGGTGGAGATGGGGACCTCTTGGGAAGAGAAGCCCAGGAATGGCCAGGAGATGAGTTACAGAAGGGGCTGAATTTGACGCAAGGAGGTCACAAAAGGCATTAATGTCATGCTGGGGGAGGTGACATCGGCAGAGGTGGGCAAATTTAACGGTCATGGGGTAAGGTCGTTTCAAGCATTCTTTAGAGAGGGAACCAGTGGAAACATGGCGCCCATATTCAATCACAAATGGACCTTCAAAATACTCTTCTGTGGATCTGGAGAAACTTCAGTCACTAGCATATGGCAGAGCTAGGATTCAAAACCAGGCAGGCTGGGGGCACCTGGGTGGCTAAGTCGGTTGAGTGTCTGACTCTTGATTTCGGGCTCAGGTCATGATCTCAGGGTCATCACATCGAGCCCCGTGTGGGGCTTCCTGCTCAGGGGGGAGTCTGCTAGAGATTCTTTCTCTCCCTCTACACCTCCACCTGCTCCTTCTTTCTCTCTCTCTCAAATAAATAAATAAATCTTAAAAAAAATTTAAATCCAGGCAGCCTGAGTCCAAGACTCATCCCTCCTTAACCTGCCCTGTTGATTGCTGGCCCAAAGCATGCGTTCAAAAATCACCTGTTAAGTTAAACTGAGGGGAAATCGGATGAAGGTGGCTGGCAAAGGGAATAGAGGTGGCCATCCAACCATCTGTTTTCGGTCCAGAGTGGGTCGGGTTGACCCCAAAATGAGAGAGCGAAGCCAAGAGTGACGTCTGGCGCTTGGCGTCAAGAGAAAACTCTTGCTCGGGAGGGCTTGGCTTTCCAGTGAGTAAGGAGGGTGTCTGTTTCCCTGGTTTCATGAGTATTCTTCACATCTCCAAGACTCCAGTCTGTCACCCATCAACTATTTGGCAATGACGTGCTTGGTGACAGAGCTAACTCAACAGGCACCCTGCCCTTGGGAGATACACAGATCGGTGTTTTCGGCTGAGTTGTGTCTCTTCAAAGTTATGGTCCCAACAGCCAGGAACTCAAAATGGGACCTTACTTGGAAACAGGGTTACTGCAAATGTAATTCGTTAAAATGACCCGGGTGGGTCCAGACAACAGGATCATCACATGAATGATCCAGGTGGGCCCTAAATCCAACATCAGAAGACACCAAAGAAAGAGGAGAGACACACACACAGAGGAGAAGCCACGTGAGGACGGAGGTAGAGATGGGAGGGACGTGGCCACAAACCCAGGAACACGTGGAGCCCCAGAAGCTGGAAGAGGCAGGAAGGACCCTCCCCAAGAGCTTCAGGAGGGAGCATGACCTTGCCCCGCCTGGATCTCAGCGGCCCTGCCCCGCCTGGATCTTGGTGGTCCTGCCCCGCCTGGATCTCCGTGGCCCTGCCCTGCCTGGATCTCAGACGTCTGGTCTCCAGAGCTGGGAGAGGGTGAATTCCTGTGCTTTAAGCCACCTGATTGGTGATTCTTTGTCACAGCAGGAACGGGACATTCATAGAAGTTCCTTTCTTTGAAAGAAAAGAACAAAAAGGTACTGACTAGGCATAAACATTTTTCTTCTAGCTCGGAAATAACCCCCCAAGCCCCCACATGCTACGTATCAGCGGACCATCACCCCTGGCACGACTTGTACTTCTTTTGCGTTGTTGCGGGTTCCCCCTCCTTTCCATCAGCATTTGAATTCGGACATAATGTTAGAGTTGGAGCGGAACCGAATGCATTTCCAAAGTGCCCATCAGTCCTCCCCGATAGGCTGACCTGAGTGAAAAAATGCAGGCACTCACCTTGAGAGCAATTTCCAGGACACAGAGCCCGGCTTCCCCATGGTCGCCCCGAGGTGGAGAACGCATGGGGGAAGAAAGCAGGACCATCGCACCAGATGAATAGCGCAATCAGCCGCAGAAGCACTCAGTTGCTGGGAAGAGGGTAATTACCCGCTCTGCCCTCTCTGGGACCCGTGGTCCCATCCAGGATGGAAACCAAGGGCTGGAGCTTTTAAGCTCCATCTGACTTTGCGAAATTTGCCCTTTTGTTTGTTTCTTTTCTTTTCTTTTTTTTTTTTTTTTTACCTCTTTCCTCACAAAAGACAAAATAAAAAAGTATATGGATAAAGACATATCGTTGATTTCACAGGCATTTTACAGAAGGGCCAAATTCTTTACATCTCCTGTTTGGGGATCTGTCTGCAGAAGAAATACAGCCGGTGGCCAATCCAGGGATTTTTTTTCCCCTATTTTCCCTGTAAGGCTCTGTGATTACACCTCCCTTATCCATCTACACACATTGACTCACCCTTGCTGGCTTCCTCCCTCAACGTGCCAGGAAAGAATACAAACCCACCATTTCCAAAAGGCTTTGATCCCGTCTGATCAATGGGCTTAGTGTACAAGAAAGAAAAAAATACTAATAAATGGTGGTGGTGAAATCTGTTTGTAAACCACTCCCCCTCCCCCCCCCCCCCCAAAAAGCTGGATTTAGGCTAAACAGATTAAAAGGGGGAAATGAATCCTGACGTTTTCTGCATTTTTTTTTTTCCGGCACCTGGAAACGTGTGCATGTGCCTCGAGTGTCTGGTGTTCTGGTTTTCGTTCTTTACACGGAGCATCATTACAAAGCGATGCTGGTGATGCAGACCAGGTTGAGGTGCACACAGGAGGGTGTGGGTCTCTGTGTGATGCTTTAAGGAGCTGCATGTCCAATCCCAAACTCCCCGTGGGACAGTCAAGAGCGGTGGATGACGCGCTCGGACAGACGTTTTCTCCCCATTTCCCCGACCACGAAAAGGAACAGACGTCTCACACACACACGCACACACCACAGTGTGGATGAACTTTCAAAATTTTACATTCGGTGACAGAAAACAGACACCAAGGGCCACATCGTGTGTGAGTCCATGTCCCCCAACTGTCCAGAACAGGCAAATCCAGAGACAGAAAGCAGATGGGTGGTTTCCTGGCTATGCAGTTGAACTGTGGCCCCCAACCCCTCCCCCAAAAATCATACGTTGGAGTCGTCACCGGTAATCCTGTAGAATACGACCTTTGCTGGATGTCGGGTGGGTGTAGATGCAATTGGTTAGGATGGGGTCACCCTGGAGTCAGGCGGGACATGACCCTATGCGAGCTGTTCCTATAAAAAGGGGGACGTTTGGACAAAGATGGACACATGGAGGCAGAGGTGGGACCAGCCAAGGGACGCCCAGGACCTCCAGCAGCTCCCGGGAGCTGGGACACAGACATGGAGCAGACTGTGCCTCAGAGGCTCCAGCAGGGACCAGGGCTGTCCACACCTTGGTCTCGGACGTCTGGTCTCCAGGACCAGGAGGCAACACACTTCTGTGGTTTAAGCACCCCTCCTCCCCATCGGTGGTGCTCGGTTATGGCCGCCCCAGGAAACCAGTACATGACAGTTTCCTTTGAGGGGGTGACAAAAATATCTTGGAACCAGACGGAGGCGGCTGGTGGTGCAATATCACGAGCATGCTACATGCAAGACAGACGTGAGTGTTTTTGCTTACGTTGGCCCTTTGCAGCAGACGAAGGGGCCGAACAAACCCCATCCAAACCTGCTGAGGTGGGGGAGCTCCCACGTGGATGAAGGGGTGTCCAGAGCCTCCCTCGACCCCATAGAGTTGGGTATAAGGACAAAAACGTGCACAGAATATAAAACACCCGTTCCAATCGCCCCAGGTCAACAATAAGAAAGCAAAGGGCTGCAGGTCTCAGGGGACATGCGTGCAGCCAGCAAAGAAATCACAGGGAGGTAGAGGAGCCCAGAACTGCCTAGGGGGACGCCAACCTCCAGAGTGCGACCTCAGACCACGTTCCTCCCGCCTGCAGGTAAGCATGCAAGATGCAGGGCAGGGATGCCAAGTTGGCTCCCGGGAGCAGAGAGGGAGGAAGCTGATGCATTTGCTACCCCTGCAAACCACCATGTGCCCGGGACGGTGGGTCTGAGAACAGAAGGGGACGGGCAGAACAGGAAAGGAGGAGCCAGCCCCCGGGGAAGCCGGCTTGACCTAAACCGGGGTATGTGCACAAGTCATGTCTGGCCATACATGGACATCCCCTGAGCCGCAGAACGATGCATGCCGATCCCCTCGTCAGGCACTCGTGGCTACCCACCCCTGTCTCAGCCTAAACAGCTCACGCAGAACACACATAGATGCTTGAAGAGACAGCTGATACGGCGGATTTCACGTTCGCGTCCTCTATACCTTCAACACCGAGAATCCACTTGTGTCTCCACGTTCAGGGAACTTCCTCAGAAAGAAAAGCTTCTATCCACTGGAGGGGGAAAAAAAAGGTAGAAATGATATAGGCAACATGCTGGTTGCACACGGCAATAAAACCAGGAGACTGATGACCACATCCAAGAAAGCAGAAAACACGAAAATATCACGTGGACATTAAAAAACAAAATGAAACAAACAAACAAAAAAAAACCTTTTAAAACCACTGAATTAACAAGAAAGAAAAACAATCCGGAAATGGTGACTCTCCAGGAAATAGAAATAGGAATGATCCGTGTCCCCCCTTGAGCTCAGAGAAAAAGCCAGAGCCTGGAATATTTACAATATTCCACAAGAAAGGATGAGAAAGCATGGAAATTACCGTTCGACTCAAGGCGCGTCTGCGTGGAGGGCAGATAAACCCAAAGAACGCCAACGGCTGGGATCATGAATGAAAAGCGCAGAAATGGTGAAGCTTATCATCCAACCATTAGTTGAGAACCGAAACCGGAAACATAATAACAGTGTAAAATCACAAGGACATAGAGTTCCCCACAGACCCGGAGAACAGTGAACAGTTAGAAGGAAAATCTGTGTTCAAATCTACATGGTGACATTTTGAAAACTCTGGAAACGTGGATGATTTTCAAATGAAGAAGTGGAAATAAAGCTTTTTTTTTTTTTAATTTTAAATCTCTGTTTCCCTAAGAGAGAAATAAAAGACCGAAATCACTTATCCCCTCTACACACACATACACACCAGGCCCAGGTAGCTCCAGCCAAACCAGTTTCTCAGGATGAAAAGAAGAAAGTCTATCAGAATCTACAGAAATCATGCAAACAAAGAACACATAGTGAGGTCACTCTTGAATATGGACGCAATAACCCTAAACGAAACGACAAGCCCGCCACCAAATAAGACCCAAGTCAAGGACAAGAGGATGGTTCTACATCAGATTAGGTATGAACATGCATGTAATCGTATTGAATTCATCATATTCATAGAATAAACTGGAAAACCCTATGATCATCCCCACAGATCCTGAAAAAGCACTTAATTTAATACCTACTCCAGATGAAAGCTCTAAAGAGGGATATTCTCTTTTTTTTTTTTTAAGACATAAAGAAGGGTATTCTTACATGATTACACATATATATGGAATATTCGGGACATGGTTTGGGAATAATAGCATGATACCCTATGCAGAGGGTAGGAATTGCATAGCAGAATCTCTTCCTCATCCCTATACAAATATGCATCTCTAGGGAATCAAGTATTTTAATGTAAAAAAAAACAAACCATAAAAGTGTTGGAACAGAATATGAGGTTTTGGGGGTGGTTTTAGAGATTTTATTTTTAAGTAAATCTCTACACCAAACATGGGGCTTGAACTCACAACTGTGAGATCAAGAATCTCATGCTCCACCGACTGAGCCACCCGTTTGCCCCCTGATGTTTAAAAGAAAAAAAATGTTAGTAAGGTTGATGTCTTTCTAAGTATAACAGCATGCCCAGAAACCATTAAGTAATTTCACTACATAAAAATGATAAAAATGAATGGAGAAAACATCTCTTCAGTTAAGAGGCTAAAAATAAAGTGAAAAAGCTTATTGGCTACCTATTTCAGAGTCAAAAAAAATGGCAGTGCCTTTAATATGTAAAGAGTTCCCACAGATCAATAACAGCAGGAACAATGATGCATGTAAAAATGGGCAAAGGGCGTATTCAGAATGGAGCAAACATGGATTTTCCACACACACATTCCCAATCCCACCTGTGTTGAGAGAAACGTAATGTAAAACCGTTGATTCGATACCATGTTTTCAACAGGCTGGCAAGGCCCATAACGTTTGCAGGGCTATTTGAGGACAGCTGAGACATCACTGGGAACACCATAAATTTGCACAACTTTCATGGAGGACGATTAGGCAGTGCCCATCATCACACACACACACACATCCTAACAAAGCTGACTTCAGACAATAAATGTACACACACACTCGGACAAATGTACAATATCAGCTCATGTTGTTTGGCTAAATACATTATGACCCAGGTTTAAACCCTCTAACTGTGTTACTGTTCTCCCACTAGCCTACATAAATTTTTTTTTTAAAGATTTTATTTATTTATTTGACAGAGAGAGACACAGCGAGAGAGGGAACACAAGCAGGGGGAAAGGGAGAGGGAGAAGCAGGCTTCCTGCTGAGCAGGGAGCCCGATGCGGGGCTCGATCCCAGGACTTTTTAAAAAGATTGTATTTATTTATTTGTTTGTCGGAGAGAGAAAGAGGGAGAGCACAAGCGGGAGAGCAGCAGGCAGAGGGAGCAGGGAGCCTGATGCGGGACTCGATCCCAGGACCCCGGGACCATGACCTGAGCCTAAGGCAGATGCTTAATGACTGAGCCACCCCGGCGTCCCCCTACATAAATTTTCTAATCCTGATTTCAAAACCGTGACACTAAGACTTCTTCATACAAAAGCTCAGAAATAATTAAACAAAGCCATTTTTGTCAAGGAGGAAGAGTATGCTTCTGGTTCATTTCGAGTTGTTAGGAAACATAGCAGGAGCTCCTGAGCCACAAAGCAGTTTTACCCCAAAGGTAAAGCAAGCTCTCACACCAAAGCAGTTAAGACACTTTGTAAAGACATTACAGTTAACAAATTTCCACAAAAAACCCACATGGAAGAAGAGGGCAGTATCTGAACGCAGAGGAGTATCTGATTCAGGGGAGTAGCTGAACTGCGGAGGAGTATCTGATTCAGGGGAGTATCTGGATGCAAGGAAGCATCTGATTCAGGGGAGTACCTAAATATAGAGAAGTATGTAATGCAGGGGAGTATCTGAATGCAGGGTAATATCTGATGCAGGAGGGTATCTCATGCAGGGGAGTATATGAATGCCGGGGACTATCTGAATATAGAGAAGTATCTAATGCAGAGGAATACCTGAATTACAGGAGTATCTGATGCAGGGCAGTATCTGAATGTAAGGGAGTATCTGGATTCAGTGGAGTATCTGCATGCAGAGAAATATGCAATGCAGGGGAGTATCTGAATGCTGAGAAGTCCTTGTCCCCAGTGTACTAAGACCAGTGGAGGGAAGTAGGCAGAGAAAGAAAATCCCGAAAATGCAGGGGGTACACATGGGTTGATTGTTTGTCCTGCAGCCCCAGAAAAGGGACCACGGGGTCCATTCCACTGGTTTCCACAGCCTTCTTTAAACGTCAGCCCATGATAAGACATTTAAGTAAAAAGTACTTGGTTTCTAATTTCTTTTTTATTAGTCTGGTGTGAAAAAAAAATCTTACCCAATGAAGGACATTTTGAGGACACTAATGAAACGCTTATCTCACCATATCCGAGGGTCAATGCCAGGGACAGTTCTGTTTAACTCACACGTTAATTGGTAAACGGCCCAGAGTTCCGGGTGGGGGAGCTTCAGTGGGGTCGGTATTGGGATGACTTTGTGATGGACAATCGGCCTTTCACACCCCACGGGGAAACCCTTAACGGCCACGGACAGGGTGAGCAAAACTCCCCTCTCGGGGTGCAACACTCGGCGTTAGTATCCCTCGTCTACCCAGCATGGTGCAAATGGGCACAACGCATCTCAAGGTCAAAACAAAGAGTCTCAACGTGAGCACAGGCGTGGGCAGGACAGGGCTGGATTCCGCCGCGGCCACCGCCACCCTGGTGCACGTGTTTCTTGGGAAGATGCAGCAGGGGAGTCTTCTTGTTCTCCTGCTGGGAACGTCGAGGATTTGCGTTTGCAGTCAAGCTTCTACTTTTCCAGAAGACTCCACTGAACTGCCAAGGACAAACAGACAAGGAAAGACTTCACAAGGCATCCCCAGCTCCCCCCACAACCCGCACGTCACCGACTGCTTCTTAAACATTTCAGACGCGGGTGACTCCCTTGCTATAGAAGATAAATGAGCGCAAAACGCATCGCTGACAGCAAACAAAAACCGACTCTAACCTGCTGGGGGAAAAGAATTCCACACATTTTAGAGTCCAATCAACTCTAGCTAGGAAAAAAAATATGTACTCCAGAAAAAGTAGAAATAGGAGAAGGCATTTTCTCCTAGGAAAAAGAAAAAAAACATACTCCACAAAAAATAGGAAAAAAAATATAGAAGGCATTTTTTCCTAGAAAAAAACCACGTACTCCAGGAAAAGCAGGAAAAAAAAATAGGAGAAGGCATTTTCTCCTTAAAAAAAAAAATACTCCAAGAAAAATAGAAAAAAAAATATAGGAGGCATTTTTTCCTAGAGAAAAAAGTACACATTCCAAGAAAAGTAGGAAAAAAGATAGGAGAAGGCATTTTCTCTTAGAAAAAAAAAATATTCCAGGAAAAGTAGAAAAAAAATAGAGAAGGCATTTTTTTCCTAGAAAAACAATGCATACTCCAAGAAAAGTAGGGAAAAAAAAGTGAGAGGCATTTTGTCCTAGAAAAAAAAAAAATACATACTCCAGGAAAAATAGGAAAAAAATATAGAAGACTTTTTTTGTTGAAAAAAAAAATACATATTCCAGGAAGAGTACGGGAAAAAAAAATAGGAGAAGGCATTTTCTCCATAAAAAAAAAAAAAATACTCCAAGAAAAATAGAAAAAAAATATAGAAGGCATTTTTTCCTAGAAAAAAAGTACACATTCCAAGAAAAGTAGGAAAAAAGATAGGAGAAGGCGTTTTCTCTTAGAAAAAAAAAAAATTCCGGGAAAAGTAGAAAATAAATATAGAAGGCATTTTTTTCCTAGAAAAACAATGCATACTCCAAGAAAAGTAGGAAAAAAAAAAATGAGAGGCATTTTCTCCTAGAAAAAAAAAAAATACATACTCCAGGAAAAATAGGAAAAAAAATATAGAAGACTTTTTTTGTTGGAAAAAAAAATACATATTCCAGGAAAAGTAGGGAAAAAAAAAATAGGAGAAGGCATTTTCTCCTTAAAAAAAAAAATACTCCAGGGCGCCTGGGTGGCTCAGATGGTTAAGCGTCTGCCTTCGGCTCAGGTCATGATCCCAGGGTCCTGGGATCGAGTCCCGCATCGGGCTCTCTGCTCCTTGGGAGCCTGCTTCTCCCTCTGTCTCTCTCTGTCTCTCATGAATAAATAAATAAAATCTTTAAAAAAAAAAATACTCCAAGAAAAATAGAAAAAAAAATATAGAAGGCATTTTTTCCTAGAAAAAAAGTACACATTCCAAGAAAAGTAGGAAAAAAGATAGGAGAAGGCATTTTCTCTTAGAAAAAAAAATATATTCCGGGAAAAGTAGAAAAAAAATATAGAAGGCACTTTTTTCCTAGAAAAACAATGCATACTCCAGGGAAAATAGGAAAAAAAAATATAGAAGACTTTTTTTGTTGAAAAAAAAAATACATATTCCAGGAAAAGTAGGGAAAAAAAATAGGAGAAGGCATTTTGTCCCAGAGGATGTTGCACAAGGAACCACAAGAACGTGACACGAAGTTGTGCCTCAAGCCCCGGAGGGTTGGTACCCCGGCCCCGGAACTCGGGCCGCGGGAAGGAAGGGGACGCGAAGGATCTCTTGCAACGCCCCGCGCCACGGGAAGACATCCGTCCCAGGGCCCGCGACCCACCTGGCTGGTCGGCGCTGGTGTTCTGCTGGTTCTTGGTGCTGGGCTCACCTTGGTCGGCTGAAAGAAAACACAAAAGATGCCCCAAGGGGGTGAACGCAGAGAAGGCCCCCTCATGTCACCGCCAGGCGGAGTCAGCCCCCCACCTCCTCCCCACCCGCCCAAATCAGTGGGACCTGGAGGGACGGAGACGCAGACCCACCCAGGGCAGCTCCGTCCACAGGGAATCGAAGGCTAAGGGGGCCTCGCGGGGTCCCGTTGGCTTGATTTCGGGTTTTCTTGTTCTCGGTCAATTAAAAAAAAAATCTTTTTTCCGAAATTTCTCTTTGGGAATGTTCCAAATGGGCATCAGAGCGGACACGACCATGGCCGCCAACCGTCCCCTCACCGAGATGCACAGCCCAAGTCGACGGGATTCAAGACTGGCAAACACAGATTCACTGACAAAAGGCGTTTATTTCTCGACGACGTCGCTTAGGGGCCCCGAGCGAAGCACATCCCAGACCGTTCACAGAGCTTGAGACTTTGTACAAAGTGCATCGCTCGGGGCGAGAACACCGTCGCGAGCAAACACGCCACGCGCCTTCAACTGCAGGTCACGGAAGAACGGGTCCCGGGGGGCGTGCGAGGAATCCCACCGTCAGTCGCCCTGTCCCCACCCCCCAGCCCCAGACGCAGACCCCTGCTGGACACCCAGAGTTGCATGAGGACCGTGACCACGTCAATGGCGCATCTTCTGCTGGAAGGGGGTGGGTGGCGGTCTGGAGCAGGACCCCAGAATGAGCATGCACGGGGAGGAGGGTGGACGCTGCAGGGCGCAGGACAGGGGTCTGTCCTCTGGGGAGCAGGACCCCAGGATCTACATGCACGGGGAGCAGGGTGGACGCTGAAGGGCACAGGATGGGTGTCTGCCCTCTGGAGAGCAGGACCCCAGAATCCGCATGCACGGGGAGCAGGGTGGACGCTGCAGGGCACAGGATGGGTGTCTGCCCTCTGGGGAGCAGGACCCAGAATGAGCATGCACGGGGAGCAGGGTGGACGCTGCAGGGCGCAGGACAGGTGTCTGCCACTGGGGAGCAGGACCCCAGAATCCACATGCACGGGGAGCAGGGTGGACGCTGCAGGGCACAGGATGGGTGTCTGCCCTCTGGGGAGCAGGACCCAGAATGAGCATGCACGGGGAGCAGGGTGGACGCTGCAGGGCGCAGGACAGGTGTCTGCCACTGGGGAGCAGGACCCCAGAATCCACATGCACGGGGAGCAGGGTGGACGCTGCAGGGCACAGGATGGGTGTCTGCCCTCTGGGGAGCAGGACCCAGAATGAGCATGCACGGGGAGCAGGGTGGACGCTGCAGGGCGCAGGACAGGTGTCTGCCACTGGGGAGCAGGACCCCAGAATCCACATGCACGGGGAGCAGGGTGGACGCTGCAGGGCACAGGATGGGTGTCTGCCCTCTGGGGAGCAGGACCCCAGAATCCGCATGCACGGGGAGCAGGGTGGACGCTGCAGGGCACAGGATGGGTGTCTGCCCTCTGGGGAGCAGGACCCAGAATGAGCATGCACGGGGAGCAGGGTGGACGCTTCAGGGCGCAGGACAGGTGTCTGTCCTCTGGGGAGCAGGACCCAGAATCCGATGCACAGGGAGCAGGGTGGACGCTGCAGGGCACAGCATGGGTGTCTGCCCTCTGGGGAGCAGGACCCAGAATGAGCATGCACGGGGAGCAGGGTGGACGCTGCAGGGCGCAGGACAGGTGTCTGCCCTCTGGGGAGCAGGACCCAGAATGAGCATGCACGGGGAGCAGGGTGGACGCTGCAGGGCGCAGGACAGGTGTCTGCCACTGGGGAGCAGGACCCCAGAATCCACATGCACGGGGAGCAGGGTGGACGCTGCAGGGCACAGGATGGGTGTCTGCCCTCTGGGGAGCAGGACCCCAGAATCCGCATGCACGGGGAGCAGGGTGGACGCTGCAGGGCACAGGATGGGTGTCTGCCCTCTGGGGAGCAGGACCCCAGAATCCGCATGCACGGGGAGCAGGGTGGACGCTGCAGGGCACAGGATGGGTGTCTGCCCTCTGGGGAGCAGGACCCCAGAATCCGCATGCACGGGGAGCAGGGTGGACGCTGCAGGGCGCAGGACAGGTGTCTGCCACTGGGGAGCAGGACCCCAGAATCCACATGCACGGGGAGCAGGGTGGACGCTGCAGGGCACAGGATGGGTGTCTGCCCTCTGGGGAGCAGGACCCAGAATGAGCATGCACGGGGAGCAGGGTGGACGCTGCAGGGCGCAGGACAGGTGTCTGCCACTGGGGAGCAGGACCCAGAATCCGATGCACAGGGAGCAGGGTGGACGCTGCAGGGCACAGCATGGGTGTCTGCCCTCTGGGGAGCAGGACCCAGAATGAGCATGCACGGGGAGCAGGGTGGACGCTGCAGGGCACAGGATGGGTGTCTGCCCTCTGGGGAGCAGGACCCAGAATGAGCATGCACGGGGAGCAGGGTGGACGCTGCAGGGCGCAGGACAGGTGTCTGCCACTGGGGAGCAGGACCCAGAATCCGATGCACAGGGAGCAGGGTGGACGCTGCAGGGCACAGGATGGGTGTCTGTCCTCTGGGGAGCAGGACACAACCCCTGCTCCCCAGAATCCCTATTCATGCGGCATGGAGCACGAACACCAGCACCGTTGGGTGTTGGCGGGCTGTGATTCCAGCAGGGCTTGGTCACCCGGGCGCTTCTCCCAGATCGTGCTGGCGATGCTCTTTGCTGGAGCTGCATACAGCCCTTGGCGGGGGGCCGACACTTAAGAGGGAGGCCAGGCCTTGTGACCGTCGGGGATGCAGAGCCAGATTCCCCATCTCCCAGAGGGGAGGAGCCCCGGAGACAGCACGCACCCTTGACCCCTAAGGGGACACCGCGTTCCACAGGACGCACCCCGCATCCCACCCACTTCGCCCTGCCCTCCAAACAGAAAAGGGCACGCACACCACATCTCAAAACAAACACAAGCAATGCACATGCTTTTCGTCTGCACTAGGGACCACTTGTCCCTAGTAGAACCGTCATGGAAATGGCAGCTTATTGGGACTCCGTGCCTGGGGACTATTCATGTATATACACAACATGCATTTGGAGCCAAGACCACAGCCCTGCGGGACCACCGACCAGCAGTGCCTGATTTTAGGCCACACGGAGGACTTCCTTCTTGGGGGCGGTGGGCACACACACACTGGACTCAGAACCACCCTACGCTAACTGGGGAAGAAGCCTTATTTTATAAGAACCGAGAAATCTGCAGGGACATCCTCCAAAGAGCCAGGTGGTGGCCAAGGTGACCACGGAGGGGCGACCCGACCCACGAGAAAAGCATTTAGAGCCTCCACGACAGCTCACCTCCCCATTAACCACCCATGCTAACCCCACAACCTGCCAGCGACCCAGCCCTCACATCATCACCACCCCATCCCACCCCCGGGGCCGGACATGACGCTGAACCTCAGCACGAGGTCAAGATGAGAAAAGCAGTGTTTACGCCCAAGGGAAGGAGATGCCCGAACATGCACGGCAGGGGGCGGGGGACATCCACGGACGACTTCACGTTTACGGGAAGATCCAGGATGCGCGGATGCTCGGACAACCTCCACCCCGTTCTCGATGGACTTTAACATTCTAAGATCGTGAGATTTTTAGATGGTTCCTAAATAAGTGGATTTTTTTTTTCCTTTCCTCCCCTGGAGAAGTGGGTCAAGTGGGACATTCACGTATTTTTGAAAAAAAAAAAAAAAAATAACATGGGTCACAGAGACAGTGAGGACCTGCTTTGTGGGACACAGAGTGGGCAAGGCATCCAAGAACTGCAGAAGCTGGGAAATCAGACGTTGAAAGTTGCACGGCAAAGCGAAACCCTACGACCCGGGTGGGCTTTGTCTCGGGACCCTCCGGCTGGCCCAATTCGTCGACTCAATGGACAGTCGCGAACGGGATGAATGCAGAGAAGCGCCCCCTCCCCACCGCCACCCGCCACCCCAGCCGGCCGCGGTTTCTTTCCGTCAGATTTAAGTCTATGAGAAAATATTTGCATTCCTCTTCCTGTCCTGAAACTACCTGCACGTTAATGCGACATAAGAGTGTGAGCTTCCATGCATCTGCAGGGGGTGGGGGTGGGGTGGGTACACAGAATCCCGGATCTGGGAGGCATCCCCATCCCCATGGCAACTGACTAGCCATAAGGAGCAGGGCAAACGCCAGGGTTTGCTTTAGACTCAGCATCTTAGCGGACAAGCACTGATCCTACAGGAGCAGCTCCAGGCTCGCGCACGGTTTCCCGCTCGTCCCTACATCCTCAGCTCATCTGAAACGAAAGGTCGAGAAATGAAAACAAAACAACACAAAAAGCAAAAAGGTAAACTTCGGAGAGGTTCAGGCGAGTCCGAAGCCCCAGGCAGCGGTCGCCGGGTGTGACAAAGACACTCTTCGCACTCGGGAGGAGAGCTGGTTTCTAGGGTTGGTTTTCTTTTTTAAGCGGCGTTGAAAGCCCAAGGTGCAACGGGCGGCCGCGGATCAGAGACGGAAGCAAACTCAAAGAGGAGGGGGAGGTGGAGGTGGGGACAGACGGAAGCAGGGACAGAGGGGAAGGCGAGGGACACGCCAGCAGGTCGGCTCAGGAACGCCTCAAGCACCTGCTGGAAACCGGGAGCACACGAATCAGCCGCCACGCACACGGAAGGCCAGCAAATCGTGCCCGCCAAGTGACAGCCACCCAAAGCTGCGCTCTGTCCAAGCAGGTCACCATCCGTGCCATTCGCTGCTCAAACCCGTCACTTGAGGCCAATGCCGCAAGCCACGAGCCCACGCCCCAAATGGCTCCTAATAGACCAGCGCGCGTCATTTGCAAGAAAACCACATTAAACTCATCCAAACGCATCCAAATGGGCAGGAATGGAGGTACACATCGGAATCTCCAGGAATAAAGGACAGATGCACCAAATTTCGTGGGCCACGGATACTGTTCCAGGCGTCAGCTCAGAACATGATACTAAAAAGCACTTCAATAAATGTACAGCAAGACTGCTGGGATTTGATGGATGCATCTCCGCGTTGAGAGAGCACCTACTTGATGGAGACTAACCTTCATGCACAACTCAACAGACCCTGCAAAATCCAACGCAATGACAAGATCCTGGAAAACCACCCTCTATAAAAACAACCACTCTTGTAAAACAATAGTTTTCCCCCCAAACCTTGGTTTTTTCAAGCGCTGGGACGCGCCGTGGCCACATCCTTCTTAGGAAATGTCCAAGCTCACAGCTACACATGGGTATGCGCTTCTTTAAACCACCATCCCGACAAGAAAACCCACAAACAGTCCTGCACAGACTCCACTGAAAGGTCTAGGATGTTCACGATCCCAATGCCTGGATCCAACACTTCAATTCTATGTCTGTTCATAAAAAGGCATCACGGACACAGACACTGAGTTCATCTACCAACACAGGTCAAAAACACCAAAACGTCTCGTGGCGTACTCAGAAGAGAGACTCATTCTCCTACGTCAGTGTCCTGGGGTTTACAGAAAAATAGCATCTAATTTTCTTTGTCTTAACATGGGGCATTTTATGGCTCCAGACAAAGGCACCTAATGACTGAAATCAGAACTACCAGCTTCCTTCCCTCATTTTTTTTTTTTTTTTTACATTTTCTTTGTGCATCTACATCAGCGAATATCAGAAACGCCGTAAAAACCAGAAAGCAAATCGAAACTGTAAAGTCACCCCCAATGTTCATTTGGCTCATGCAGAATGAGAGACTATACGGAATTCTGGGTAACTGAATTTAGCTAGCTGTTCAGGAGCATATGTTGAGTCCCGGACTGGCCCGAGCCCATTCTTCAGGAAGGATGCTGTTATTTTTTGGAATTAGGGAATTCAACTATATCTACCTGAGGAACTTTGTTTTCACCCCCCGTTAGGAAAAAGACCAAGACCCAGGAATGCAGTACAGGGGGATGGGGAACACTTGGTTTTCCAAGTCCCTAATCCCATTCCAAGTATGGGACAATGTCAAGTCCATTAAGATTCTTGGGTCCTTCCCCAAGTGCCTTGGCATATGAATGTCAAATCGGCATCATAACATCCAAGGGGGTCATATATCCCAAACCCGAGGTGACAGAAATGCTTTGCAACTCCAGAATCCGAATGGATTTGGAAATCCAAATTGGATTTGAAAGTCACCTACAGATTTTCAGAAAATCACTGTGCCCGGACTTCCCATGCATCGTTCCTTAGCAGGCATGCCTTCATCCTCTCCTGGCTGGGCGTCATGCTCTGAGCTGAGCCTCTTCAGAGAGGGGGGCAGAAATGAAGTCCATTTGAGCATGTCCTTGATCTCGGTCATCTGTCCATTTGGGCACATCCTTGACCTTGGTCATCTCTCCATTTGGGCATGTCCATGACCTTGGTCTTCTCTCCATTTGGGCACATCCTTGACCTTGGTCTTCTCTCCATCTGGGCACGTCCTTGACCTCAGTCATCTGTCCATTCGGACATGCTGGATGCTCAACATTTAGGCAACCGAGCACAGTTTCCTGAGCACCCCTGATGGAAGGCGCCCAATCACATGTGGGAAATAGACATAATCAGGCACCCTTCCCGTTCGCTGCAAGAAAAGAGATGCCAAACAGCAGCTTATGTTAAATCTCTGAACCCACAGTCTGTTTGGGACTGTCAATTTCGGGTTACAACCAGAGTCTGTGAATCTAAAAATCTAGAATGATGGGAGATTTAGGGTAGACTCCCTCCCTATAGTCAGATTTTGTATCACCATCTATTCAGATCTTTGAGTCCTCAGGCAGTGGTCCTTGAGGACGGAGGTCAACGGCTAAGTATGAATCTGGACTTGAAACCACAGGCAGGTTGAGAAGTTTAGACATCGTGAGGCTCCATGCATAGCCCACAGGACTCCTAAAGCCACATCAGAGTCCACCCTTCGTGTTCACCTTGCAAGAGGGAAGGCAAGACTTAGAGCAACCCAGAGATGCATGAACATGAGCTATGTTCAAAATACAACTTACTGATATCAGAGCAAATCCTATGTAATTCAGGGACTCTTGCCCGTACGGTCCCCAAACACCCAACGATGGAGTTCCAATCTCTATGTTGGTAGGTGTGACATCCTCCACATTCCCCTATAAATTTTATATCCCACCCAAAAGCCCTCTGGAGCACCTGTCAGTACGGGGTGGTACCAGAAAAGGAATCGGCTGCCCTGCATTTCAATTTTAATTCTCTTGGTTGGAGAAAACAATATGGCGCTCCCCGCCGCCCCAGCCATCGCTCTTGCCTTAAGGGGGAAGAAGATGACACCAATTATAAATAAGGATGAATAAACATTTCCAAGAGCTAACATTTCTTCAACCAACCTGTCAAGACTTTCACACACAACCCTATGGAACCTCACAAAAGTCCTGTGGTGTACAGATGATCATTTCCCCCCTTTAGAGACGGAAAACCCAAAGACAGGGGTGGTTAGTGACTTGCAAAATTTGCACAACTCCACACAGGCGGCGCTGGAATGGAAGCTACAAAGTCTGACTGCAGTATCCCAGCGATTTCTTGAACCATCAGCCACCTCACACGTGTCTCATGCCAAGGGGACTTCTGGATTGTTTTAGTTTTGAGAAAGCACAGCTTTTAAGTTAGTAAGGCATGAAGAGAAGGAAGGGGCCACAAAAACCTTACCGTTTTCTTTGAAGCACAACTTTTTCTTCTGGTAGGCGATAAAGCTAGAGATTGCTCCGGCCACGGCCACCACAACGGCCCCAATGATGCCAGGGATTACCCCAGGGGAGTCAGCTGCGGGAAGAAGCATAGGGCACCATGACGGGGAACACTCGTGGAGAGCAGACCACGCACAGGATAGGTGGCTGGAGGCCCCGCCCACAGGAAAAAGGTGCAATTGAGTGTCAAGACACAGGGTCCCAGGGTGTCCATGGAGGAAACCCCACTCTTGAGCCTTGCCCAAATCCCAACACTGCCTCCAATCCATTTGCATGACACGAAGGGCCAGCCATACTGCTCCCCGAAAGTCCCACCTGGAACTGGAATCCATCTGACTATGCATATCGCTTCCAATGAAAAACAGGTTTCGGGTGGATGACACACCCTGCCTCCTCCCATCCCTATGGCCAGTGCAGGGGTCCTAACAGTCAAAGGTGGAAGTCTCAGGAGAGGCAACATGGCCCACAGTGCATGGTGCCCATCTGGGACCACTCAGAGGCTGTGTGGCATCATCCTCTTCATGCATTTTCTGAAAATCAAAGCCACTGACCCCCTTTGCTACTTTCATTTGACTTACTGGAATGGAGTTTCCATGCACTATTAGTAACTCACACTACGTGTATCTGTGCCACATGGACAGCTAGCTATTTCTCGGCATGGCAGGTGCCCAGGACATCCCACTCCATGAGTCAATCAAGGATGGTGTGATGCTTAATTGTGTCCACTTGACTGGGCTCAGCGGTGCCCAGATAGCTGGGAAAACATTCCTTCTGGGTATGTCCATATGGATGTTCTCAGTAAAGATTAATGTTTGTATCTACAGACTACGTGAAGCAGGTGGTCTTCACCCATGAGGGTGAGCATCAACCAATCCACAGGGGGCCTGAACAGAACAGAGCGTAGAGATGGGACATCCATCTTCATCTGCCCTTGCGCATGAGCACTCCTGGTTCTCGGGATTTGAGACTCAGGTGGGGACTTGCACTCCCAGCTTTCTCGGTTCCCAGTCCTTTGGACTGGGACTGAACCACACCAGTGCCTCTCCTGGTCCTCCAGCTAGCAGTCAGCAGATCGTGGGACTTCTCAGCATCCATAATCATGTGGGACAATTCCTTATAATCAATCTCTTTCTGTATATCCTACACTTACATCTGTATCTAGATAGATCCCAGTGGTTCTGTTTCTCTGGGGAACCCCAGGTAATATAGATGGTATTCCTTCTTAGGACACTGTGGGAAGATGAGTAAACTTAACCTGTGGGTCACATCAGTACCCCCTTGCTGAGTCTATTAAAGAACACCAACCAGCTACTTCAGCAGAGCGCTTCGGAACGCACAGCGCAAAGCAATCGCACTTTGATGCTTCGGGCCATCATCTTTAGGATGGCAGAGCCAACACTCTAGGTTTGATCTTGAGCGCTGCATTCCACTTTCTCTCAACAGTGCATATAAGAAACCCAAGACATCAGAAACCATGTGTACATACCCTGCTCCCCCCCATCAGGCTTTTGGCTTCCTCCATCACCACCGCCACCACCTCCTGCAAGGGAGAAACAGGCTTGCAGACAAGTTGCATCGGGAAGAGTTTTGGTAAAGAAAATATAATCCCAAAGATCAACTACTGGGACCCTGAGTTGTGAAAGAACTCACAGAGTCCTTTCCCTTTGTTGAGTCCCTGCTTTGCTAAACCTATCATTGGACTTGCTCCCATTTGCCTGACACCCAGACTCAGCTCCTGACTCAAACCATTCCTCCCATGGTGGGCTGCAGGTGAGCCAGTGAGTCCTGGGTGCCTCACGGATTCTGACCCCTCTTGCTGGGCTCGGGAAGAACCCCAGCCAGGGCCCTGGAGCCCACCTGGGACCCGGACCATAGTTATGGGGTGATCCAAGGCACATTCCTGTTGAATCCCAGGATCTGTACCTGTGACTCACCCTTGAATAACTCAAGAGGATTAGGGGATCCAACCCCCTGTACAGTCAAAAATCCGTATACAACTTTTGATTCCCCAAAAACTTACTTACTAATAGCCTACCATTGACTGGAAGGCTTACTGATAACATAAACAGTCAATGACATATACATTGTATGTTCTGTGTATTATATACTATACTCTTACAATAAAGTAAGCTAGGGAAAAGAACACACGATTAAGAAAATCATAAGGAAAAAAAGATGGAGGTAGAGGCATGAAGAGAATCATAAGGGAGAGAAAGTACATTTACAGGACTATATTGTATTTATCAAAATAAATGGACCCATGCGGACCAAACCTGTGTTGGTCAAGGGTCAACTGTAAGTATACATTAAGACAAACTACATGTAAATATAATAAATCTTAATATATTCTAACTACTATAAACACATATTATTATATTTATTGTATACTAAAATTTTTACTTATTTATACAAGATATATTATATCTAAGTACTGCTTTGGACCCTACTCTAACCTCAGATTTTAAAGAGAGAGGTGGAAAATCTGCATTTCGAATTGTAATGCTGTCAACCAGGGTCACATGACTTCATTCTCATTTCTATGTTCATTAAGTAATAGAACACAGGCCATTGGTGACACCCAATAGTCATCTAAAAAAAAAAACAAAAACCTAACAGGTGACTGGGGAGTTCAGGCGATGTCTGAGAAGTGCCCGATCAGCTGGCCTCCAGCCCCATGCATGTGGCCGATAGACAGCTCCCTGAACCATTAACACAGCTCCCAGGGAGCAGCCTTGGTGGGGCAGGTCTTACCGGCCACATCCTTGATGCATCTACAAATGGCAGAGGTGGGAAGAGATTTCCAAGCAGCTGACCGTGATTTCCCTGAGGGTAAGACTGTAGGCCCTGATGTCATTGTGTACAGCAGGTGGGTGACAGAGAGAAAAGAGAAGAAGTCTTAACTCTACCTCCATCTGAAGCTCCATCGATGAGATCGGAATCTGAAAAACCACCTAGGAGACAAAAACACAGTGTCATCCGCCATATTGGGACTGTCAGGGAGGTCTCGATGTCTTGGAATGAAGGAAAACACCATTAGAATCAAAAGCAGATCTGAGGCACAGGGAATCCAACAGCGGCTCTACTTTATAGAAGAAATCTCTCAAATACGCAACGACAACTGAATTCCCAATTCTATTTTAAAACTCCTCAAATTCGTCTTACCAAAAACTCTGCTAGGAAACCTGAAAAAGATACCAAGAGAAATGGAAAGCATATACCAATCTCTTGGATGAGTGTAAATAAGATAATCCCAAAGGGATCTGTCTGGTATAGATTCAGGACACTAATGGCCCTAGGTATTCACTCTCCCCATTATGGGTGGCATGTTCTGCCCACCTCTTGACTGTGGACTCGGCCACATGACTTACTTTGGACAACGGTAAGTTGGCAAAATGGGAGCCGCATCAATATTTTAAAATAGGGGTTGATGCTCTTGCCCCTTGAGAGGAGCTCATAAAACCTAGTGGCAGGGTGTGGGAGACACATAAGGGAAACCTTAGTCATCCCAGCTGAGGTCACCCAGACAAGCCAACGCCAGAAGACCCACCAGCTGACCACAGACATGTGACAGCCATGCAGAGATCAGCCAAGCCTGGCCCAGACTCGTGACACATAACACATTTTTTAAGATTTTATTTATGTTATTTAGAGACTGAGAGAGAAAGAACGGGGCGGGGTGCAGAGGGGGAAGTCTCAAGCAGACTCTATGTTGAGTGCCAGCCAGATGTGAGGCTCGATCTCATGACCCTGAGATCACAACCTGAGCCAAAATCAAGAGTCAGATGCTCACCTGACTGAGCCATCCAGACACCCCGAGACATAACAATTTAAAAAATTTTAAACCACACTGGGTTTGGGCATAGTTTGTTATGCAGCCTTCGCTAGCTGATACATATCAGATTTAACCCATCAGTTTAACAAAACCTATCATGACCAAGTATGGTTTATTCCAGGAAGTCAAGGACGTAATGTGTAGAAAGACGTCCTTCAATATACCTTGTCGTATTCACAGGTTAAAAGAAAACTAAATGCTCATATGCATTGATAAGCACATGCACTTGATGAAATTTAATATGGGTTTTCTAGCCAAGGCAAAATGATTCAAATACAATAAAACTGGAAAGAGAAACTATAAACATAAAAATATATATACATTTGATTGAAAAATAGTTTTGCTAATAATGTGATAGTATTTTCATAAAAGCTAAGCAATGAAGGCAAAATTATTATTATTTTTTTTTTAAAGATTTTATTTATTTATTTGAGAGAGAGACACACAGCGAGAGAGGGAACACAAGCAGGGGGAATGCGAGAAGGAGAAGCAGGCTGGCTTCCTGCAGAGCAGGGAGCCCGACGTGGGACTCGATCCCAGGACCCTGGGACCATGACCTGAGCCGAAGGCAGTCGCTTAACCGACTGAGCCACCCAGGTGCCCCTGAAGGCAAAATTATTAACAGGTAATAAGGATTCATCATTAAGCGGCCAGTGAGGAAAGATGTACAAAATTCCTTTCTGTATCACAGAAATAAGCAGAAAAATAATGGGCATAAAATGTATTCACAGAAACAAACATTAATAGGGAAAAGCAATTTAGAAACAATGTTTATAAGAACAACAACAAGAAAGAAGGACAGAAAACTGAATGCAAAGCAAAAAGCTCAATTTTGCAAACGGCACTCTCCAAATCGATCTCTCGTTGGAAACCATTCAAATGACAATAAAAGGACAGTTTTCTTTCTCTCGAGAAGGATGAGAGACAATGACTAAGTGAGTGTTAAATTAAAAGGAAAAAAACAAGAGAGCCGCAAAAACGCAGGGAAGCCATTCAAACATCAAAGAACCCACGGGGAAAAACACAGACACACATGCACACACACTTAAAGGCTAACTTGCCAAAAAAGCACTGGGAAAAATACCCAAATGCTAAAATAAGGGGGGAAAAGTTTTCGTAATAAATGACTGAAGAGAGTATCCGTAAGTGGATGAAACGGGCTTCTCGATCAGGAAGGACATACCAGGTACCCTCGGATGTAACTGTACGTGGCCAGCTGACACTCCAAATTTATCTCCTTTAATTTCCTAAATAAAGACGTGAAATTAGGGCCAAGGGCCGTGTAACCTTGCACAGGATACATCCGGCAAACTCTTCCAGGTGATAACAACCAGTCTCGGGAACGGTGTGTAGGAGAGACGCACATTTGCACCAACAGCTGGACTGGGGTGTGCCAGTATAATTTTGAAGGCAATTTAAAAAAAAATGTCAAAAACCTTAGCACACACGGACCTAAACAGTTTGACACGCACCATCTCTTTTAAGGAATAAGAAAGGAAAGGTGTGAGGGTGTCTTCGGTTTGCTTTGTGAATCGTATTTCTCCAGCCTCCGAAGACACAGCACTTTCGACGTTAAGGACGTTGCAACGGAATGACCGCCATGAAAAGGCGCACAATAAAAACAACCAAACGGAATGAAAAAAAATGCTTATGAAATATTAATAAGCACAGCATGAGGTAAGGAAGAGTATGAACAAAAGACTGACATCATCGGGTCTTAGAATTCTGTTCATTTAAAATCCCGTCTAGGGGCGCCTGGGTGGCTCAGTCGTTAAGCGTCTGCCTTCCGCTCAGGTCATGATCACAGGGGTCCTGGGATCGAGTCCCGCATCGGGCTCCCTGCTCCGCGGGGAGCCTGCTTCTCCCTCTCCCGCTCCCCCTGCTTATGTTCCTTCTCTCGTTGCGTCTCTCTCTGTCAAATAAATAAATAAAAATCTTAAATAAAATAAATAAAAATAAAATAAAATAAAATCCTGTCTAAAGCACTAGGGAAGGCAACTGCCAAAATGTTGACGGTTGCACAATATGGAGACTATTTATGTTTTTATGCGTTAAAAATTAAACAAATCTAAAGCAAGAAACCCACTCAGAATCTGAAGTCTTCACACAGCCGTCCAATGCAGAAAACAGGTGCTAGTTGGATTATTCTAAATATACTGGAATATGTCAGAAAAAGGAAAAAGGCTGAAAATCCAACAGCTTCTCCACAGCAGGAAACCAAAACCTCATACTTTTGTCCAAATCCATTATTTGGACAAATATATAGTTTAGGGGCACCTGGGTGGCTCAGTCGGTTGGGCGTCTCTTGATTTCAGCTCAGGTCACGATCTGGGGGTCATAGGACGGAGCCCCACGTTGGACTCTGAGCTCAGCACGGAGTGTGCTTGGGATTCTCCCTCTCTCTGTGCCCCACCCCCTTCTCGCACTCTCTCTCTCTCCCCATCAAAAAAATTTTAAAAAAGTAAGTAAAATCTTCCATTGCGTTTTTGAAAGGTCCGTAAAACCCTGGAAGTCAACCGCAGCCAACCAAAAGTCAAATCCAAACCAAAAATATCGTTTCGAAAACTCGTTTCCCACTCCTAGAAAACCGGAATGACCTTGCGCTAGAGAGACCCCAGGACGCCCACGCTAATCTGGAATGACCTGTTCTCGGCCAACAGGGAGACCACCGCTCTCTGAGAAATGCACAGCACCCCTGCAGGGGAGGGGGTCTTACCAGAAGATCCAGGCTGGTTGGGGTTCGGATGAGGCTTCGGTTTGGGTGGTTTAGGTGGCACTGGGTCATCTGTTGGTAAAACATAAGCGTTGCGTTTGTGAGCAGTCAGCAAAAAAAACCCCAATACCAAAAAAACGAAACACATCAGTTTGCCTACAGATGGTTTCCCAAACAGCCAGAAAGTGGAGTGTATCCTTCCTCATGGAGGGGACCCCCAAACACAGCCACCTGCCCATTTCTTTCCATCATCATCCAGCTGCCCTACTTACCTTCAAGAGAACCAAACAGTCCAAGGGTTCCGTAAATTTCCATTAGAAACTAAAGCAGGCGACTGGACCAGCTAAGGAATTTGTGGGACCCAGTGCGACACGGAAATGCGGGGCCCCTCTTTCAAACCACGTTGAGAATTTCAATATGGCAGCAACAAACCATCCCAGCGAGGGTGGGGCTCCTGGTGAGTGAGTGCACGGGTCACACGCCCGGGCAAGGGTGCTCACATCAACCTTATGGCATTCCAAACGATGCTCGCCCGTTTTTTAAAATAAAAGCAAAAGCACACGGGTGGAAACGAGAAACCCAACAAGGGCCAATAGCAATACGCCATTCTCTACGTGTTTGCGGTAACAGCTCGTTCTGACTTGAGAGGGACAAGGCTCTTGGGAACGATGGTAATTTGGTGATCCTAAGCAAGTCAGCCACACAGGAGACTTCCCGAAGGCACTTACTCTCTCCTCCCCCGCCGACAGCATCTTCCAGACTGAACCCATCATCGTCTGCAAGGGAAACGGGCCGTTAACACCGAGGATCCAGGAAGGAATCCAGCTCCCTAAACACACGGAGGAACCCCTGCGTCCCCACCTCCCCAAACACGTCTGCGAATACCAGTCTGACCCAGGTCTGAACAGAAGAGCCAAATTCCTCACCTCTCAGAGGAAAGGAGCAAGACACAAAACCAAACCCACAAAATGGCACGTACCAATCAATGGCGCCACGTGGGCCGAGCTGGGATTCCAACTCTGCCCGCCGAGAATCCCCTCCCGTCCGAAACCACCCCTCCCGCGTGGCCAGCGCCCTCTGTACCGCAGACACAACGCGGTGGGCGCAGATACAAGGCACTGGATTTGCACGGGCATGCACCAACGCTGGGGTTCCCTCAGCGCAATGAGGGGACCCTTCCTGGTGGCATCACGGGTTGCCTTGGTTTTATGAACCAAGTTCCAGCTACATCTAGGGACGTTGGCGGATCCGCCCAACGCAAGGCACCGAACTACCGTGAAAATTCAGGTTTTCAACCATCTCTTATCCAGCATCCTCTGCACGTCCGTGGTGCGCAGGGACGCGGATATGAACACAGCAGGTGCTATGTGTTCACTCCTGACGGGACATTCTGGCTGGAGTGCCCTGCTCTTAAACCTATTCAATTAAAAACAACTTAAAAAAAGAATCAACAGCGGTAAGACCTCCATGATCTTGGCATCAGTTTTTGTCTGGGTGGCTCAGGAGCAACGGATCAGACCCTTGTTCCCGGTTCCCGACTTTCCTTTGAAAGGAGCCCCGCCAACAATGGGCGGATGTGTCCTAGCGGCTGGAGACTGGGTTCGCTCACGTGTTCTACGGGCATCTCAGCCCCCCAAATTCTTCTCCTAGGCAACGCACACCCAAAAGCATCCAGACGCGCTGTCCAAGCGACCTGAAAGCATCCCCGAGACACGTCAGCCCCTGGTCTTGCCCAAAAAACATGGCACCCTGTAGCTAACGTTGGCAACATCACTCCAGTAGGAACCAGTCTGCGTCCAGAGCCCCTGAAACCACTCGTCTCTATGCTTGTCTACGTCTGGACCAGCTCTTGGGGCGAGCGGGAGGGCACACGTGGTGGGGGTCTCTCCTGCAAGGCACCAGCCCGTTTGCTTCTTACCAGAGCTGGGTCTCTTGGGGGGTGCCGTGGGCTTCTTGTCGTCATCTACAGAGAAAAGACACTGAATCAGCAAGACCTGAAGGTAGAAAACCGTGCCAAGTCTCAACGATGCTCCATGCGCTTTAAAAAAAAGTCAGAAAATGTCCAAAGCACCACTCCCCGATTGCTCAGGCGGCGGCCGGGGGTCAGAGCGTGAATTCTGAGCCCACCAGGACCGCCACGGACAGGTGCACAGGTTGGTGTTGGCCACGGCGTGTGCTGAGACCAAGAGCATGGGGGTTCTCCCACTGGGAAGGTTTACTCCCCCTACCCAGAGCGTCCGGCTTTTCCTCCTCCTGCGTGAGTCCCTTTACCCCGGTACACACTTCGATTACTACGTTCAGACAAAACACTCATCGTCCGTTTTAAGTCAAAAGTTTACTATTACATCTGTCACCTTATAAATATTAAATTTCAAGAGGACTCACCACCAAGGGCATCCGACAAGTCGAAATCTTGGCCTACGAGGACAAAGAGTCTGGTTAGAAATCGGGGAAATAAAAACGTAAAAATTAAGAAGACGGTACAAAAAAGAAGGGGGGAGGGCCTGAAATTTTTCTGGATTTCGTGATGTTTGCGACAGTTAGCCGCTCTTTAAAACGTATAATGGAGGCGGAACTTCTCATCTCTTCACCACGCTCACGTTTACGCCGAAACGTTAGATGATAGTTTACGTTAGAAACGGCTGGTGATCTTAAAATTTAGCAGCTGTTACAGCAGTAGGAAAACATGGTAATTTTTTTTTTTTAAGATTTTTTATTTATTTATTTGAGAGAGAGAATGAGCTAGAGAGAGAGAGCACGAGATGGGGGAGGGTCAGAGGGAGAAGCAGGTTCCCCACCAAGCAGGGAGCCCGAAGTGGGACTCAATCCCGGGACTCCAGGATCATGACCTGAGCCGAAGGCAGTCGCTTAACCAACTGAGCCACCCAGGCGCCCGGAAAACATGGTAATTTTGCCCGTGCATCATTTATGAGGAGCAGACCCTCTGCAAAAATGACTAACAATTTCCCGTATGTGACGGAAAACACAGATGGGCAGAAAAAAATCCCCTTTTATGACCAACTTCTCTGACTACACAGCCAACCTGCATCTCTTGCAGAATCACTAGACAACCCAGAAAAACACAGACATTGTTTTTTGACCTCCTGGGATCACAGAGAATGGGGAATCTGCGGAGCTGCTCCTTGTGCTTCTCCCCGGGCCCGACTGTTTTTACTGAAACCATCCCCGTGCTATCGCCAAGTGCCCATTTCGGATGGGCTGCAGAAAAGGCACCGTAAAGACATTTTGGAGAAGCCCGCGTGGACTGCCTGGACAGCTGTGAGGGGACTGAGCGCAGGTCGGACAGTGACTGGAGGGTCCAGAAGCGGAGGGGACGTCTGCACCACCTCAGGAAGCGCTGGTGTCCAACGCTCCACGAACACGCACAGAGCCGCCTCAATGTGGGCATGTGCTCAGTTGTACGGGACGCCTCAGGCAGGCGGTGCTCTATTATTGTGTCCTCTCTCGCGTGTGCGTGGGGCATGCGTGTGCGTGTGTGCACAGATGTAAGTGTGTTTGCGTGTGCTTTGTGTGTGGGGATGCGTACACACGTGTTTATGCTTTGTGTGTGTCCATATATGTAGGTGTGCGTGGGTGTGGTTTATATGTGTGGATGTGTACATGTGTGCATGGTTTATGTGTGTGTGTAGATATAAGTGTGTGTAGGCATGGTCTGTGCGTGTGGATGTGCACGTGTGTGCATGGTCTGCGTGTGTCCCTACAGGCAGGTGTGTGTAGGCGTGGTCTGTGCGTGTCCCTACATGCAGGTGTGTGTAGGCGTGGTCTGTGCATGTGGATGTGCACGTGTGTGCGTGGTCTGCGTGTGTCCCTACATGCAGGTGTGTGTAGGCGTGGTCTGAGCGTGTGGATGTGCACGTGTGTGCATGGTCTGTGTGTGTCCCTACGGGCAGGTGTGTGTAGGCATGGTCTGTGCGTGTGGACGTGCACGCGTGTGCATGGTCTGCGTGTGTCCCTACATGCAGGTGTGTGTAGGTGTGGTGTGTGCGTGTGGATGTGCACGTGTGTGCGTGGTCTGTGTCCCTACATGCAGGTGTGTGTAGGTGTGGTGTGTGCGTGTGGATGTGCACGTGTGTGCGTGGTCTGTGTCCCTACATGCAGCTGTGTGTAGGTGTGGTGTGTGCATGTGGATGTGCACGTGTGTGCATGGTCTGCGTGTGTCCCTACATGCAGGTGTGTGTACGTGTGGTCTGTGCATGTGGACGTGCACGTGTGTGCATGGTCTGCGTGTGTCCCTACATGCAGGTATGTGTAGGCGTGGTCTGTGCGTGTGGATGTGCACGTGTGTGCATGGTCTGCGTGTGTCCCTACATGCAGGTGTGTGTACGTGTGGTCTGTGCGTGTGGATGTGCACGTGTGTGCATGGTCTGCGTGTGTCCCTACAGGCAGGTGTGTGTAGGCGTGGTCTGTGCGTGTCCCTACATGCAGGTGTGTGTAGGCGTGGTCTGTGCATGTGGATGTGCACGTGTGTGCGTGGTCTGCGTGTGTCCCTACATGCAGGTGTGTGTAGGCGTGGTCTGAGCGTGTGGATGTGCAGTGTGTGCATGGTCTGTGTGTGTCCCTACGGGCAGGTGTGTGTACGTGTGGTCTGTGCGTGTGGATGTGCACGTGTGTGCATGGTCTGCGTGTGTCCCTACATGCAGGTGTGTGTAGGCGTGGTCTGTGCGTGTGGATGTGGACACGCGTGCATGGTTTGCATGTGGGCACGTGTGTAGGTCTGTGTGCTGCTCGTGTGTCTGCATATTTTTGTGGCGGGGGTGTGGTCTGTGTCTAAGAGTATGTGTAGATATCTCTATGTCTAGTCCGGGTGTGCATATTTGTCTCTGTGTGTCTCTGTGGGTGTGTTCCTATGTGTGTACTAAGAACAGGCTGACAGAAGCAGGTGGTCTCGGGCACAACATACACGGGACGCCCAACAGTACGCCAGTGGGGCTGTATTCACGATCTCAGACCCTGAGGTGACAGTGTCTACACCGCGTGGCCCAGACCCAACAAATGCAATTATACCTCCTGCTGCGCACGGCAGGTTTCCCTGAGGCAGCGGGTGGGGATCTTACCAGCGCTGAAGACCCCACTGGGCATGTGCCCAAACATGCATGCGTACACACATCCGCGCTCCTGTGTACTTACGTGGAAATCCACGCCTGTCCACTCCCCCCACACGCACTTCACCCGAAATCACCGTGCCGAGAGAGCTTTGTCAGACATCCGCCTTCCCCCGCCCTGGAGAGGACTTCCAGCTCCAAGGGCACATGGCCTGACACAGACGGATTCCAAGAGCGGACGCTGTCGCGCTCGGGACGAAGGGGGACACTTAGAAAGGAGAAGCAGACAGGGCTCTTTGGGACGCTCAAAAACCAACAGCAACACGTGCGAACGTCAATACAGACTTTCCCGTGTGACACTCCCAATTGCCCTGATTTCTGCCTCATGAGAGATGGTGATGGAGAGAATCCGCAAGGAAGCCAAACGAAAGAGAAGACTCCGTACTGACTCTTGTGTGTGTATGTGTGGGCACTGCACATGGGCGTGTGTTAGGCGTGTGTATGCACTGCATGTCAGCCTGTGTCTATGTGCACGGGGGTGCATGTTAGGCGTGTGTATGCATTGCATGTGAGCGTGTGTCTGTTTGCACGTGGGCGTGTGTCTGTGTGCACCAGAACCACTGACCGGGACCTCACTCTCCCTAAAACTGATTCCTCTCCTGCCCAGCCTTCCTTTCCACTGCTGTGAGGAGGTCACGGGTCCCCTACACGCCCCTTCCACTGACCCCCACATGGTCCCCAGACAAACCCAGTAGGAGCAGACCGAGCAGGGATGGGGGCAGGCTCTCCAAACACCCTCCAGCCCCCCACACCCCCAGGCTGCCCTGTCTGCTGGGGATCTCGTCCAGGGCTCTCCGCTTCAGACCGCGGCCAACGTTCCCATCCAGTCACTAAAACCAAGCCCAGAGCCCACTGCTCCCAGGACCCCAAGATCACCCAAGGGCAGGTCTGAGAGTGGACGGGCACAGGAAGAATACCCCCTTCCCAGCCTCCTCCCCAACCCCTCAGTGTACCCCAAGAGCATGCACTCGGCCCCGGAGCGAGAGCTTGGCTTCCAGCCCGGCCTCTGGGCTGGAACCCTGCAAGATTGCCCTGGGCCGAGGACACCGCGCAAGACTCCCAAGCGTCCAGCTGAGACCACTTCACCCTGGATCCCGTGTCTCAGGGCTCTCCCTGACCTCTGCCCCCTGGGGACACTGTTTCCTGATCACAAAGCCACACCCTCACCAGAGACGACAGAATCCAGGGGACTACCCCCCCCCCAAAGGGAGTGCTTCCCACACACAGCCGCACAGAAATTCTGGGGCATGGAAGGGCCAGCTCCCACATAACTCAGTCATGAACGTGAATCTCTCCCCACCCAGCCCATTGTGCAGATACGTTGCAAGACTGTGCCAATGTTTGCAAAAGGCATGCACACACGTCACCGCCAGCTGAAGTCCCCACAGGAACGTTCAGGAAATGCAATGATTCAACACCCAGCAGCACTGACCAGCAATAACCGCTCCCAAACTACTGCTAACCTAATCTAATCTCTCCATCTACACAAGTGGTCTACCGGGTCCAAGCCAGCACTGCTGACTCTGTCATCATCATGGGCGACCACGTCAGGGGGCTGCGTGTCCCAGGAGAAACTCTCCCATGCCGACCACTCCCCTCACTGCCTCCCGGGGCCAACAGCACCAAACGGGGCTGCCACCACCTGGACCAGGAGCCTAGGCCCCGTGTCCAATGTTCAAGGCATGTAGCTCCTCGGTCCCCACTGCAAGCGGACCACTGTGCATGGAAGCCTGTCCAGCCCTGTGGGCTCCTACACCCCTCAAAGCTGCAGATGTTCTGGGGAACTCAGGGGTGAGTCACACAGGGCGAGGCTGCCCCTGGCCGGACGGAGAGACACATGAGTCACCCAGATGGCACCACGCCTCCAGGAGCCCCTCCCGCCCTGTATCAGCCAGTCACGCGGGGACACGGGATGAGCCACGTGCAGTCCCCAAACCCCCCCCCCCCCGTGGGTGTGTGGGCAGCTTCTCCTGAGTGCAGATGCAACCCCGCCTGGATCTCCATCCCACCTGGGTCTCCATCCCCCGCCCGGATCTCCATCCTGCCTCGGTCTCCATCCTGCCTAGATCTCCATCCCACCTGTATCTCCATCCCCTCCTGTATCTCCATCCCCCCTGGGTCTCCATCCCCCCCCAGATTTCCATCCCCCCCCCGGGTCTCCATCCCGTCTGGGTCTCCATCCCCCCCTGGATTCCCATCCCCCCAGGACCTCCATCCCCCTTGGGTCTCCATCTCCCCTGGGTCTGCATTCCGCCAACCCAGCCAGAATCGGGTTTCTCTGAAATTCTATCACAA